GCGTGCCGGGAATAGGCCGTGGAATCGTCGACGCAACATGCGAGGACGACACACTTGCTCACGGGGGTCCCCAAACCTGCTGCGCGTCCCCGACACCTAAAGATGTCATGTCAAAACTCATTGAAACATGGACTGAGTGCGTGCAGCTCAACGCCTCCACGCCTCGACATCGATGCCCGCCATGCCTCTCGAGCCGAAGTCTCAGGGAGGGCCCTTTGCCAAAATTTTTCAGCTTACGGCGCATCTTCAACTACGTCGAGAGGTCGCCGTAACATGCACGTGTGGGCGGAACCGAAGACGAGCGTAGATGCCAGCAGGTAACCAGGTAAGTTCACGCCTTGCCAGCGCCGTGCGGCCATTCACCTGCGTGCTGTGTCCACAGTACACGATCAGTAATATCCAGTCGATGGTCGCCCATTCCTGCGCTCAGTGTCGAGTATTACACAGCTCTGTCGGCCCCCAGGCGTTGCTCCAGCAGAAACTACCGGTGCAGAGCCATAGAGACGTAGCGACGTGTCGATGCGCACCCTCGATGGCCGTGGAGGTCGCTAACGGTGCTGTAATGTCAAAGGACGTTAGCATGTTGCCCAAGACGACACGGAGAACTCACCAGTACGAGGGGCGCAGAATGGCAGTATCGGGGCGCGCAACTGCACCTCCAAATGCCGCTATGGGAAATGGAGCTCGTAGGTGTAGATGGCGGGCATGTACAGGATACGCAGTCTACTCGTCGCGTTGTCATTGATGAGAGGGAGGAGGGAGAGGGGATGGGACACACATTTGATGCTGTTCAGCAGGGTTCGTGTAGCTCCTGCGCGGTGGTCAGGTCAACCCAGCGGCAGTGAAAAGAGAGGGAGCGAGACGCACCGACAGTGCTACGCTACATCCCCGTATACGTATTCCGCGCACAACCCCCGTTCGCATTTGTATACGGATACGCATATTCTCCCGCAACCCGCGTTCCGGTCACCCAGCGTCAGATCGCAGCCGCGAGCGATAATGATACAGGTACGCCAGGCCGCATCGTTTACTGTGTCGCGAATTGCGCCGATTCTGATGCTACGCCGTTCTAGTTCATACCCAGATCCCCGATGCGCGTCGAGACGCGCTGTCTTTGATTCGCGCTGCGCTATTATTTATGCAGGTGAAAAGGGATAAGGGATAAGGGATAAGGGAGATTGTGGGTGGCTGCAGTTGGGGTGACATGCAGCACTAAAGGTGTAGCGAGTGGAGCGGGGAAGGAGCGGGAAAGGAGTTGAGTGCGAGACTGGCGCTTGAACCAGCGCCACGTGCGCGATCCAACTCCGCTGTATTCCGTTGGCCGATTTTCAACTTCCAATTCACCACTCTCTCATGCTTACCACGACGGCGACGACAACGATAAGGACATCGACGACGACTGTTGGGAAGGCCACAGCGCCCCCATTTCACTCCAATCCCCCCCTCTTCTGTATCTCCTTGAGCAAGAGGACTCTGGCGCGTAACGACTAACAGAAAAGGTGCCAGTACCCAATGCTGCGCGTTCTCAAGTCGAACCAGGCGGCGAACGAGGGTCCAGGGTGTTGGATGAAAGGGATGAGCAGTGAATAGAAGAGATATCCGCAGGTGAGTCTCCACACCATTGGGAAGGCTGTCTCATTCATATAGCCTGTAGTAGACGCGCGCGACGGCTGCAGGAGCGTGAACGAAAGCGAACGTGGGCTTAGCCTGACGGCGTCATCATCGAGGTCAGCCAGACGTCGTCGACTTCCCCGTATCCCCCGGCCTCGTGCCTTGCGCGTTCCACCCACGACTGGGGCGCACCCAGCGTCTTCAGACTTGCGACCACGTTACGTCCCCCTTGGTTCCCTCACCCACAGTCGTGGTTCGCAGAGGAAGCTCAAGGCGGTCTTATACGCGTGCATATAAGGACGTTAAACGCGACATCGGCAACATGCGGGTATGCGGGTACCAGTCAGAGAAGGAGAGTAGAACGGGAGGGCTGTAGGGCGCAGAGGACAAGGCTACGATGGGTAGCACTACCGCGGTACGTCGCTACTGAGTCCATGCGCATATACGCACTCACATGGGGTAGATTAGGCTGGCGGCCACTGGAGGGGTCACGACATCGCTGTCTCGCTGACGCGCACCCTCCTTCGACCGAGATGACCGCAACCACCCCCTCGCCGGGGGAGCCCCTATCTCCCACCCGCAACTTGTGCGGGCCCCTGTCCCATACGCACAATGACATTGACTCATCCTCTCCCTTCGCCGCGATGCCCGTAGCCACCCCCTCAATGTGGGGGCCCCTGTCTCCCCTTCCCCCATCCTGCCTTCGCATTCCCCCTTTGCCGCGATGCCCGTAGCCACCCCCTCGCTGGGGGAGCCCCTATCTCCCTTTCCCTCATCCTGCCATCGCATCCTCCTTCGCCGACTTGCCCGCAGCCATCCCCTCGTTGGGGGGGCCCCTATCTGGGGCATGTATTGCTTGGGTGCGGCCAGTATCCGCCCTTCGCTGAGATGTCCGTAGCTGCCCCCTCATCGTGGGGGCCCCTGTCTTACGCAGCACACTGCTATGCCTCAACGCCCCTTGTCTGTTACATTCCCTACCTTTCAGATGTGGCTGCCGCTGCCTCACCCAAGTTGCAAGGCATCAAGAGCACACTAGTTGAAGGTGAGTACTGACTCTAATGCTGAATATCCTAGGCTCACTTATGTGACCAACCAGATGAATGATATCTGGCACTTGTATGTACTCACCTAACCTAACCACCGAGACAGTCGCTCGTAAACGAGCTCCAAAACAAATATACTGAAACCCTAAACCTCAACCCCCTAAGTACCTAAAGTCCTAAAAGCCCTAACTCCAGGTTCCGCATTCAGTAATGATTCCGCGTTAGACCTCGCATTCGCGAGCTCTAACACTTGTAGTTTATACTTACACATGTACAATTAAAGTATTTTGGAAGCAAATAAGACTCGTTTCTGGATCTTAGAGTGAGATTGAGTGGATGATTGAGGGTAGAATTGCATTAGAGCTCGTGTTCGCAAGCTCTAATGCTTCAAGTTTATGCCTCTTGACTCTCAATCTAAGCCATTTGGTAGTAAATAATGTGTATTTATATGATTCCCAGTACAAATTGTGATACGATAAGTCTAAAAATCGCCTGAGGGCATCCAAAATAATGTGATTTTGGGTCGGCCTAACCCAGCATTAGGCCCGGACTCAGTGGATAGAATATAAAACTTAATTTTAACCCCGTGTGTTTGCTTAGTAGTAATTGTGCCATGTTCCCACGGTGTTTCTGCAGCTGACTACCACTTGCAGCGGCTGGAATGTATCATACATGGTAATATTTGACATTGAGCTGTCCCATTCTGGAGTATGTCACCATCGGACTGGGTTCAAACTATAAACAGCCTTCACAGAATGAGTTCCAGCCATAAAGCACCTCCTGCACTCAGTGCTTCATTCTACTAGTTCTTTCTGAAGTACCTGCCAAGTATCTGCACATCGCTATCATTGTCTCACTAGTAGCTACAATATTATGGAAACAAATTTCGATTTTTGTAGTCATATTTAGCCTCTATTGACTGTGAGAATATGTTTCTACTGACTTGCATTAACTACTCACTGTTGCCGCATCTGACCGTAGCAAATTTTCCTTACTTGAGTCAGAATGCCTACAACTACTATTGCATTACTGATTGTAGAAATTCCTTTACTATTAACTCATCAACTCCACCTATTCATGTACTGCAATTCGCTATATATGTAAAATGGCGTTGTCAACAACTTTCTTCACTCTAGCAACCTCTTAAAATCAATTCCTCAGTCTCTATAGCTTATTTATTACTTTTGGTTCGCTTTTCTTATTTCTATAGCTGGCAATACTTGCTATATCCTCATTATTATCTTCTACATATATGTATTTGAACACTCCGAGCAACTTTTGTCCAGATTGCTAAGCTTTCTGATCACTGGTAATGAATATCCTTCAGTTTCTGCTTGTTGTAGTCACTATTTCGCTTTTTGTGACTCAATTCTCTAAGCAGTAGCACTGTACTAATTATCTTCGCATTTTGTAACTGGGTGAATCTGAGTTTGAAAATTAAATTAAGTCGCAATCTGTCTGCCCTCTCAATAGGCTATAAGGTGGCCCATGCAGTAAATAGCACTACTAGCCCTCCCCACTCACCATGGGCTATCAGGTGGCCCATTAGCTGCTTAGCATTAATTTTGAAGTCACACATTTAGTGAGTCAGATTTATAGTCTCAATTTCGCTTTTTGTGACTGTGGGAAACTGAGTTTGAAAATCAAATTGCATCGCAATTTGTCTCCCCTCTCAATGGCCTACCAAGTGGCCTAAGCAGTAAATAGCACTATCAGTTTCCCTTCCCTGTCATGGGCTACCAGGTGGCCCGTTGGCTATGTAGCACCAATTCCGAAGTTTCATCTCCTTTACAACCAAAGATGTACTAACCAAAAATATCTTAATTGTTTTCGCATTTAGTGACTGTGAGAATCTGAGTTTGAAAATTTAACAGAGTCGGAATTATGTCTTTCTGTCGACTTGTGCGGGCTACTATGTAGCCCGTAAAGCACTTAGCTGCTCAACTATGACTTGCGGTATCATTAAACACTAAGAATCTAAAGCGCATATGCGGAATATAGCCATCTCAGAGTGCAAGTCTCACCACGGGCTATTTCATGGCCCATGCAGTATTCAGCTGAGGCAAATTGCATCTTTCACCGTGGGCTACTAGGTGGCCCATAAGCTTCTCAATATTGATTATACGGTATTATCTTTAGGCGACCATGACTAATGCTATTTGTTCAAGTTTGTAAATATATATAGACTCCAAATACAATACAATAAGGTACAATAGATGATGTCATCGTTACACCAGGGTTAGAGGGTTTTTTTTCACTTCAGGGTCCATTTCGTATATATATTTCACCATACCATGATTGTTTTCATTCTTGTTTCCTTTTCCCCTCTCTTTGACAATCACCACAATGTCGACCTTCACAGATATGTCACTCACTGACTTCCTCATCCGCTATTCCGAAATCATGGAAGATGAAAGCAGTGATAATTTGGACCGAGATCTTGTCAATTTTGCACTAGCTGGTATTGATGTGGATGAATCTCGTTTTCGCATCAACATGGTCAACACCTACCGTCTTCGTATCGGCGGTGGAATGCCAAATATCACACGGGACTATGATTCATTCATCGGCTTTACCGACCGTATTCCCATCAAACGTGATCTCTACTTGTATGCATTGCCTCCACATCATATTTCAACAATTGCGCAGTCAATGCACCTCAAAGTTCCATTTCGCACATCAAAGGTATTCTTCATTACTTTCATATGTGCCGCAAAACCCACTTATTAATACTTTACTCATTTAGGGCATTCAAAACTTGGATCCATCGACGGTTCCAAATGTCTTGCTTGGAAAATACAATGACCGACACCAGCTTCGAATTTTCTTTCCATCGCTGTGGTCTGAAACTCAATCATCAGTTAAACTGACCAGTGAAAAAGCCGAGATGCTCTATGACGATATTCTCTACCCAACGGTGGTCACGGTTGCTCCAGCATTGGCAAAAGATTGGCCGACATCTCTTGAAGTGGAGCGTTTTCGTTCAAGAACCACACGATCGGCTTTTCAGAACACCGCATATATTCTCAGTGCCGACATCATCAGTCTGTTCAAGCACGAGCTCAGCCGCCGGTTGCAGGAGCACGAGTTCTTCAAACATGCAGTCTTTTGCACACACATTCAAGGAATAAAAGCCTCTACCATGCACGACATGTCTGCACTCTCCGCGGATATCGCCCTGACAAGAATGCTTGAAGATTTTGACACCGTTCAAGGATTGTGGTGGGTTGATGTTGGCCTTGAAATTCAAGACGGCGACCGCGCAATTCTCTGGCGCAAGGATGCAGCACCGAACTTGCTCTCCTATGTGTTAGGTAACACACTTGATGAAGCGGGGCGAATCGTTCACAGCACACAGTTTCAAGAAGATGTCAATTCCCACTTACTCGAAGTTGCGGGATTCCGTGTTGGCTTCGTGACCCCCATCGGCGATAACGAAATTGCCTATGTTCAAGCCTATACTACCGACAAAAGCTTGACATATCACAAACACGGCTTTCAGCACTCGCAAGCTCTTACAGGGCTAGCTGCCCTAACAGGGAATCCGCCAAAATACTGCACCGATCTTACCGCAGCATACACGGATGCAAAACAGAAGAATGTGGCCGCAAGATTGGAGGTTCGCCTTCCGATTGAATTTGCCTTGCAGTATATGCTCGAGTTCGACTATGATGTGCTTCGTCATAGTGTTCTAAGTGTGCACCGGGAGAATTTTTGGTACGCATGCTGGTCTGTTTGCGGGCTTCTAGATAGTCAGCGCTGATGATTGCGACAGGAATTGGCGCATCGTTCGAATGGATGCCTTCTCGCGACTTCTTTCTGCGATGAATGATCAAAGTGCGGAGCAAACTGTCACTACCGCTGTTATGAGCACCTACGCTGCCGTGGTTTGGATGATCAACGGCGTTCACAGCCGTCCGAATTCTGAATCAGGTGGTCGTGCGTGCCAGAAGATTGCAATACCATTGTTTGAAGACTACAGCGCTACCGACTTGCAGGCTGCCGGTTATGCCGACCGCGAACTCAACGCACTCGAAGAACAATATGCTGAGTCTCCTTTCTCCCCCTTCAATGTTGTATTCATGCGACGCATCTTCTTTCCACCTGAAACCAACACCGTGCGACTGCCAATGGGACGCGTCCTTCCCGAGAAGTTCTATAACTGGATGTTCGGGAAGTCTCTCGCTGATCTACGGCTTCAGTTCAAGGCTACTGGCATTATCAGACGCAGAGACTTACCTGCGCAACGGTATCCGATGAATAAGGGCCTCAGTCGAGCACGCATAGGACCAACTCCAGCGAGCGCGTTTTTCGTAGGCTTGAGCGAGATAGAAGAAGAACCTGTTATTGACGTGGGTCCGGATGTCCCCGTGAATCAACAAGTATTCGACGATGAAGAACAGGAGCGAACCGTCGAAGAGAAGGTGGCGGACATTTGGGCGCAGTTCCCTTGCTGTGTCCTTCAGAAAATAGGCAATCCAAAGTCCAAGTGGTCGCTCCCGAGCTACTGCAGAATCCATCAGCAAGACAGGCAGAAGGTCACGATCGATGTCATGAAAGACACGAACCTTGCGAAGGTCTTCGCGCGGGTTCAAGTCTCTCTTACAACCATCCAACGGTGGCGTACAGCGTTCGAGGCTTGTTTCCCGCCGAAAGGTCACATTACGCCCAAATCCGCGCAGGCTTGGACCCAAATGCGATACTATATGAATTGGAAGACGCTGGTGGCCTCTTTACAAGCCCCAGATGCTGATAGAGTGCGGGAAATACTATGGCACGAGTTCGAGAAACTTACCTGGATCCCTGCCGCAACCGGTGATCGACCATGGCGCACGGACAGGCAATCATCATGGACCCAGTTACCACCGCTGGACCACCAGGGGCCGTTCTCAGAGCCGAATATCCCCGGTCCCCAGATTCTATGGAGCCCATTCGCAGACCCCAACATAGTTTGGGATCCCTCAGTTCCACTTGTACTCGCGCTCCCGCCTGCAGGTTCGTTGCGAGTCAATGGCGAAGTTCCGGATGTGCGACTCGCTGATGAAGATGAGCTATCTGGTGACGAAGCAGAGGAAGCAGAAGTTTTGCGAGAGATATCTGTTGTAGACGACGGGCATCCTGGTGGCCCGCGCGGAAGGAGGGAAAATCGTGAAGAGAGCGCCCCAGCAATTCAGGGGGGCAGCCGTCAGAGTACCGCCAACTCTAATCGACACGGGCACTGTAGTCGCCCGCGCGCGCATGGGCAGCAACGCGCCCTGACAGACTTCTTTGAACCTCCACGAAGTGGGAGTCCATTCGCATCTCCGCGAATTGGGACACCAGGTGGCCCGCAGAGGAGGCAGAGCACTCTGTCTGATTTCTTCACACCTCCACGCTCAGGTCGCCCGAGCGCAACGCCAGTGGGAAGTCGTGCTAGTAGTCGCGCAGCAAGCCTGGCACCCAACGGGCCACCTGGTCGCCCGAGCGCAACGCCAGTGGGAAGTCTCATCAACAGGACTCACTCGTCCTTGGGGCGCAGATCACGGAGAGAGGAGGAGGAATCCCAAGACAGTGTGACGCCCGATCCGAAGAGAATCAGGGTTGGGCTGGAGGACGACGGCGACGACGAAATTGAGGTGATGGGAGTGGACGAGGAGCGGCGTGTTGTCGATATTGAAGCTTTGAGGCAGGAGGAAGAAGAATCCTCAGAGTGAATGGCGCTGTGGGCTTGCTGTTCAGAAGTAGCCAGTTGATATACAGCTATAGATACTTACTGCGATTGATACGATGAATGCGTGTCCCCGAAGGATGCACGCATATGGCATTCCACACGATCAGCCGAGTTTGGCTCGCCATGGGCCCCTTGAGTCCCCGTGGCTTGGAGGGGAACGAGAGATGGACACAGACAGCGTCACGGGCTGCCTGGGTGCCCGTGGCTTCGAAGGCCGTTGGGGTGGGCGGCTCGTTTTCGTGTGGTATGCGACGCGGTAGCTGCGTTATCGGCAGCGTCTACGGTAAGCAAACGGTCGAAACCGCCCTATATGAGGTACGAACCCAGCAGCTCCTGCGTCTTTCGCATCGTGCAGCGTTTCGTTGGACTCGAAGTCTGGGGAGGCAACCCGCAAGCCGTCGTCGTCGCAGCCGCCTGGGTAGTCGCAAGGGCGACGTGGATGCCCATTTAGACGAATGGAGTGGCGGGGAGCGAGCAGAAGTGGCCGCGGGGGACGTTAAGACAAAAGGGAGTGGCTGAGTGTCGCCGAGGGCGACATTGAGACGATGGGAGTGCCTTGGTAGTCGCAGGAGCCGGCGCAGGCGACGTGGATGCCCATTAAGACGAAGGGAGTGGCGGGGAGCGAGCAGAAGTGGCACTCGCGCTGGACTATCTAGCGCGGGGGGGTGATGATGTCTGGTCCGTTGACGCCGGGTATCGAAAGCCGTCTCTCTAGCGCGCCCAAGCCAAGATCAAGATCGACACGACGGCCTCCTGCACCATCATCGATAGCACCCGGAGCACCTGGTGGCGCGCCCATAGCGAAGTCGTCGTTCTGGTCCAATGATACGATTCCTTCCTCCACGCCTCCATCCCCTCCAACTGCGACTACGTCCACGCTTCCGCCAGCGTCGGTAATAATGATGGAGGTGGCTGGGGGATCATCAGATACGATGCCCACAGTGCGACGGGTTGGACGGGTGATCGAAACGGAAGGCCGACGCTCAGGCGAAGTGGAGGCGGAGGGCACTATGGCCTGGCGCATTCGTCGACGATCCATGCTGATATCCCCGTCGCGGTCGGCGTCCAGGTCTCCCTCAGCGTCTCCGTCATCTTCCGTCTCTGTCTCTGGGCGCGACGTGTCCGAAGACGGAGTAGGCGGAGCACGAAGGTGCTCGACGAGACTTGGATCGTGCGTTGACGCGTTGCAGTATGGGGAGGAGCCGGTTGGGCTGGCGCATCGTCCCATACCCTCCTTCCAATGACTGTGCCACTCCTTTCCGTCCCTGGGACGAGAACGGTCGTTGTGGGTGTCGTAGAGCCAATAAGGGTCGTATTCGCGGACGTATCCGTTGATGTGTCCGTATCGCTATTAGATTGTTATTCCGACGTCCCTCGGTGAGGTGAGAGTTGCTGTCGCGCGCGGTCGCTGTGTTATCATCCTCCATAGCTTCATCCTGCGGGAATGTTAAGGGTCGCACGATACAGATAATCAAGCGAAACATACCCCAATATCCGAATAGGCACTGGAAAGCGAGCGAGAATCTGTAGGCAGCGTGTTTATCGAAGGATGGCGGATTGAGGGTGGGTACGAGTTTGTTCGACCGTGCGGTGGGCGCATTCAGCATGGCGGGATTCTCTGGCGGCGGCGGGTATGAAAGATGCGTACTAAGGCGCTCGAGTCCACCGTCCATGGTCATAATTTCTCGGATTCTCGGAGAAGTCGATGTAAGGTATATCAGCTGCGTAAGCGAGTTGAAGAGCGGCAATGGCGAGGTTGTATCCAACGCTAAATCCAACTTATGTGAGCAATCAAGGCGTTATTGATGCAGTGGAACACGTACCTATGCCGCATCTGTGCTCCCTGGAACCCCGGGTTAGTCGCCTGATCCCCTCGTCGTCCTTCATTGGAGTTCCTTGCGTCATGGTGGTTGAAAGAACGGAACGGGTGCGATAAGCGCCCACATTCGGAACTGACGGATTGATCTGCGATAAGATAAACAACGCCCGAAGCAGATAATTGACATGCGGGGCTCGGTGCGTTGCTTTCCGACGCCGATGCTCTCCAGCAGCCCGCGACAGAGGCTTCCAGGCAGCCCACGAATTTGTCGAGAGAAGAAGGGCCTGAAGATCAAGCGCTCCTCAGGCAGCAGCTCGATGGCGTGTCGTCGATAGTGCGCCAGGCGTTCACGGAGGAGAATGCTGGGTGTTTGGGAGGTGGTCAGGCAAGCCCTTATGCGTAGTCCATCAGTCTCCTGATTCTCTACCACTCGCGTCTCATACTTATGCAAACCTTTTTCATTCATTATGGTTGTGCTATATGTCATATGATGTACCTACGCTACATATGTATAATACGTGCATTATATCGAACACTCGGCGAGAAATCCGTGCTCGTGTGGGCTACCTGGGTGCCCATTGAGACGATGGGAGTGCCTGGGTACGCGTAGAAGTGGCCACGGGCGACGGGGATGCCCGTCGAGACGAAGGGAGTGGCTGGCTGCGTGCAGGATTCGCTGCGGGCGACGGGGATGCCCGTTGAGACGAAGGGGGTGGCTGCGAGCGACGTTAAGATGATGGGAGTGGCTGGCTACGTGCAGGATTCGCTGCGGGCGACAGGGATGCCCGTCGAGACGAAGGGAGTGGCTGGCTGCGTGCAGGATTCGCTGCGGGCGACGGGGATGCCCGTTGAGACGAAGGGGGTGGCTGCGAGCGACGTTAAGATGATGGGAGTGGCTGGCTACGTGCAGGATTCGCTGCGGGCGACAGGGATGCCCGTCGAGACGAAGGGAGTGGCTGGCTGCGTGCAGGATTCGCTGCGGGCGACGGGGATGCCCGTTGAGACGAAGGGGGTGGCTGCGAGCGACGTTAAGATGATGGGAGTGGCTGGCTGCGTGCAGGATTCGCTGCGGGCGACGGGGATGCCCGTTGAACGAAGGGGGTGGCTGGGTGCGACGTTAAGACGATGGGAGTGGCTGGGTACGCGTAGAAGTGGCCAAGGGCGACGGGGATGCCCGTTGAGACGAAGGGGGTGGCTGCGAGCGACGTTAAGACGAAGAAGGGAGTCGCTGGGAGTCGTTAAGACGATGGGAGTGCCTTGGTAGTCGCAGGAGCCAGCGCGGGCGACGTGGATGCCCGTTGAACGAAGGGGGTGGCTGGGTGCGACGTTAAGACGATGGGAGTGGCTGGGTACGCGTAGAAGTGGCCACGGGCGACGGGGATGCCCGTTGAGACGAAGGGGGTGGCTGCGAGCGACGTTAAGACGAAGAAGGGAGTCGCTGGGAGTCGTTAAGACGATGGGAGTGCCTTGGTAGTCGCAGGAGCCAGCGCGGGCGACGTGGATGCCCGTTGAGAGTGGCCTGGCTGACGCTCGCGACGCTGGTCGAGTCCGTCATGCCATCGTATGACGATGCGCTCGTGACGTTGGTGCCTGTAGGCGACTGCGATGGTGATCGATTTCCAGTTCGGCCCCGTGCTGATTCTGAGCTCTTCCTTCTTGTTGAACGTCGCCGGCGCAGGCGCCGCGACTTGATGCCTGGACAGCGCCGGAGACGGCGATGCCATGAATGGATTGGCAGGTGGCGACACGGGCTACCTGGATGTCCGCGGAGACGGGGATGCGGAAGAAGTGCCTGGTGTCATCGCAGGCTGCTTGGATGCCTGAAGGGGGAAAGGCAGACCCCATGTCCTTGAAGGGTGAACTTGGACGATAAGACGAGACTCACCAGTTCTAAGTCCAAGGCTATCGTGGAACCCACTATTCCCGGCCCTCCGATGCCTATCCCTGCCTAGAAGCCCGTGGCGACGAGAGGAATGGAATGGCAGAGACGCAGGCGGGGGGTGCTTGGACGCTGGGAAGGAGAACGCTGGACTTATCGTGGACAGTGGCACGAGGGAACTTCAGGGTAAGACCGGTTAGCTCTGGCCAATATCAGACACGTACCTAGAGTACTGCCCATACCGTCATTCCATCTTGCTTAATCTCCTCCGTTGCGCGTTGCAGCTGCGGTGGTTGGTATCGTGCAGTCGATTGTACGGTCGCCCGCAGAGACGAACGAGGGAGGTGGCAGAGGCGAGCGGGTATCGTCGCAGGCCGCCCGCAGAGACAAGGGAAGTGCAGTAGAGGTGCGCAGGCGTCGTCACGGGCCACCAGGATGCCCGTGGCTTCGATGGGGATGACTGAGGCGAGCAGACGTGGTCGCGGGCGACTAGGGCATGAGAATGCAGGGCTGTTGTCCACTGCCGAGACTTCAAAGTCGCCATAAGTCGTCTGATCTCCCTCGTTCTTGCGCATTGGAACTCCGGGCGTGCGTCGTGGTGGTTTCAAGGAGAGACAAGGCGATAAGCGCCCGACTGATGAAGCACCGATGAGATAATAGATTATCGCACTTTACTACGTCCGACGGATGTTCAGCATATACAGTATCGATAGGGAGGCTCATGACTATCAGGTAGAATGTCCTGGCCCCGGCTAACCCAATTGTACAGAAAATGAGGCGGCCTCATTGATGCCAGCCCAATATATGCTCGAATACTTCGTACATTGATTCCCCCACTATCAATGACAGTCTCATACTCAGCCTTATTCCTAGCGCTCTTAACTATCACTCGAGATCACGAACCGGATGAGGACCACCCGGCGCAGCTCATCGAGGAGAAGGCCGTCATGCGCGATATCGGCATCCCCAGAATCCTCGACCCGTCCTGGGTCCCCGGAAATCTCACCCCTTCTCAGGCCGGTCGACTACACCATTTCATTGCAAAGGTTCGTCTCAAGCCCAACACAGAGAAAGCCGAGTTTGTTCACAGCGGCATCGATTCCGTGGGTGAGCGCAAGATCTACAAGGCCTTCTTCCCGAAGATTTCCCGCAAGATAAACTCACTAGTCGAGCTGGCCATGACTGAGCATGGCGCCCACCCTCAAGAGATTCTGAAGACGTCCAGGACCGACGATTTCCCGATGCCTGATCAACTGTCGAACCTCGCACTCGTCCCGATCATGATATCGGTGTTTGGAGACAGCGTCCACAACGGTTCGGGGGTTATCCTGGATCGACACCTCCACGGGGTTGCGAAATCGTTCCTGAACGCTGGATATGTTCGCCTTCGCAAGCAGTGGGCACGCGCTCGCTCCCAGATCGACGAAAAGATAGAGTACATGGAGAAGCTCATGAAGCGTAAGTAATTCTAACTCTTATTATACTCGTAAGTCAACTAACCCAATAATCGTAGCGCTGAGAGTGGCCATTGAGGAGGAGGATGACGTGCGACTCAAGGATATACGGATGGCCATCAGCGCATGTCGGACCGTTCACAATATGGCCTGCTGGCTTCCGAGTTACCAGCTAGACGCCGAAGCCAACATTAACCTCTTGCAGTCGGCGGTCGATAACGCGCTGAAGATGCCGGATGACGCCAAAACCGACGCCGTCCACTCGATAAAGCCGAACGCGGAGGAGATGGGTAGGTGGAGGGTTTTCACGCCAGGTATTCAACGACACTGACGTTTCATTCAGTAAAAAAGGCGCGCGCGGCGGGACGACAACTGCGAATTGCTAAAGTGGACTTGGCGAACAAGGAAGAGGTCTCCCGAACACTGCAAGAGATCGTTACGCACCTGGAAACGTGTTTCGGCGAAGACGACGCAGCCCCCTACGCATTGCGAAACATCGACGATGAATTCGGCTTAGACGGGGACCTAGGCGTCGAATTTGCCGCGAAACTGTCGTACGAAGACCTACAAGGCCTGCTGGGTTTCATCGATGGACGTCCAGCGAGTTGGAACCCATATGTACGCATTGACGGACGTACAGAGTGGCAGATTATCGACGCCGAAGAAGAAATCGAGGATCTCAATAACGCTAATGGTGCACGGGCTGCCAGGCAGCCCACGACGGCGGCGTCTGCATCGTCTCCCTCTCCCATGTCGCAGGCCACTGGACAGCCCGATTCGCCGGCTGGAGTCGATACCACGACGGCATCATCTCCCTCTCCCATGTCGCGGGCCACTGGGCAGCCCACGACGGCGGCGTCTGCATCGTCTCCCTCTCCCATGTCGCGGGCCACTGGGCAGCCCACGACGGCGGCGTCTGCATCGTCTCCCTCTCCCATGTCGCGGGCCACTGGGCAGCCCACGACGGCGGCGTCTGCATCGTCTCCCTCTCCCATGTCGCGGGCCACTGGGCAGCCCGATTCGCCGGCTGGAGTCGATACCACGACTTCATCGTCTGCGTTGCGAGCAGGCTTTCAGAACGGTGGGCCAGGATTCCTGGAGCAACGACTGCTCTGGCATCAACTGGCTGGCACCTGCGGCATCGTACGTGGGATGTGGACGTCCGAAAGGGGTGATAGGCCGCCTGGGACGTTGCTCGCTGACGGTGTGGGTGTCGGCAAAACGGCGCAGGTTATGGCTTCCATTGCGTTCATACAGCAAGTTTACTTAATCGAAACGACCATCGAGGAGGGGAACACCGTCCTCAAGCGTCCTCCAATTATCAGTACGTCAAGTTCAATTCTTATTTGATACAATGGTTGCTGACTTGCAACTCTACAGGCCAGTCAAAGTGGTTCATGGGCGGGGACTCCGATGAAGAGATCGGAACCGTTCCCAATTTAGCCCACCTGATCGTCGTCCCGCTTTCCCTCATCAGCCAATGGCTGTCGGAGCTCCATCGGTTTTTTCGCAAGGGAGCGGTCGATATCTTTGTTCTTCCAAACACTGCTGACGCAGTGCAACTCTTCTTTTTCGGCAAGAACACCGCGTGGAAACTGTCTCAGCACAAGGAAATCAATCACATCGTTCTCTGTGCGCACTCCGTAAGTGAATTTGTGGCCAACGAATTAAAAAACTGACCTGACTCTCAGACTTTCACCTCTTTGACGGCGAGGACCTTTCGCTGCGGAAAAGACTCTGGCCTCAGATACGTAGACCAAAAGCGCGACAAGATAACTTCACCTCCCCCCCCGCGCACCATTTTCGACATTAATTGGTGTAGCGTATGGATCGACGAGGCGCACTTGTTCCGAGGCCTCTCTCGCGGCTTTACCGGGGCGATTGCCATTGAAGATAACGCCTACGTCGTCAATTGCATCACGGCGACTCCGCTGTATACCCAAATACGCGATATATTCAACATGGCCCGGATGATCGCTATCTCGCGTTTCAGCGGTCCCGCAGGCGCGGAGTGGGAGCGAGAACTGAACAGTAGAATCGCGAAGGAGAAACGCGCGAATTCAAAGGCAGACAAGGACGCCGCAAGCAAACGAACCTTGGCAGTGATGGCAGGGCAGCACGTCGACGACCACACTCCTGGCGTAGCCGTTCGTGCCACGCAGTACTCCGTTATCCGAGAAATCCAGTTCAACTTCCATCCGCATCTGATCAGGCGAACGATGGCTTCGAAGCAGCCTGATGGCCGCCCCATCAACGACAAAATGCCCTCGATTACTAGCCATGTCATATCAATAACGCTCACCGAGCGTGAACTCAAGAACCTCAACATCTTGACTGAGAAACTCGGGCAGGGTGGGCGTACCGTTCCGACGGATCTCAATTTGAAGGTAAGTCGATTACGGACTCCCTCGTGGCGCGTGCTGATCCTGGTGTAGAACTTCTGGCTCGTATACCGCACTGGCGTCGTATTCTACAAGGATCCCGGGCAAAAAAACTGGCCAATATTCGACGAACGTGGCAGGTCGGCTGATGGTGGATCCTATAGGAAGTTCCCCAGCTCCAAGCTCGACACCTTGGGACTCCTCCTCAAACACCTCCTGAAACATGACGACATTGGGCATCCCACCCAAGACGAAGACGGCCATTTCATCTGGCCTGACGTACCGTTCGTTCCCGAAGGCCAAGTCGCCCCCCGTCGTCGCCGGATACTCGTGTATCACGAGTTTACTATGATGGTCTCGACCATCAGCTCTGTACGTGAATATCATCCATTATATGATCTGTCAATGACTTACTTCGCGCAGATCCTCGCATACAAAGGCATCAAGACACTGATTATGAACGGGACGCTCAAGCGCGAAGAACGTGACCAAGTCATCGACGAGTTCGTCCACGGCGATGACCCAGAGAAACGAGTGTTGCTGTTCTCATCCGTGGGGGCAGTAGGATTGAATTTGACATGCGCAGACGTCGTAATCATGTTGGTAAGTACACCAAGTATATCAATGCTGTGGATTGGTGGTAACTAATACATGCGACTAGGACACCATATGGTCCCAGGTCGGCGTCGAGCAAATTATCGGCCGGAGCGCCCGGCTGACGCAAGATAAACCGGTCCACGTCTACTACCTCATCGCCTTACAAACGACGGACGTCCTTATGTCGACCTTAGCGCGAGAAAAGGGCGAAATGTTGGAAACGTTACTCACGAAGGGTACAAACCCGGCCCTACAGAAGATCCTCGACGGTGACGACGACGACGACGACGAGGATATTGAAATCGATATGGAGAAGGATGAGCCACAGTCTCGCTCAGCCAGAGCGTCGGGTAGCGGGAAATCGAAGAGGCAGCCCCCGAAGGCAGCTGCGAAGGGGAAGGGGAAGAAGGCGCAGGCGAAACGGGCCACTCAGTTGCCCGCGGCAGACGAAGGGTCCTCAGAGGAGGAGCCAGCGGAGGAGCCAGCGAAGGGGAAGGGGAAGAAGGCGCAGGCGAAACGGGCCACTCAGTTGCCCGCGGCAGACGAAGGGTCCTCAGAGGAGGAGCCAGCGGAGGAGCCAGCGAAGGGGAAGGGGAAGAAGGCGCAGGCGAAACGGGCCACTCAGTTGCCCGCGGCAGACGAAGGGTCCTCAGAGGAGGAGCCAGCGAAGGGGAAGGGGAAGGCGCAGGCGAAGGGGAAGGGGAAGGGGACGGCGAAGCAGCCAGCGAAGGGAAAGGGGAAGTCGAGGGTGAAGTCGAAAGATTTCATCGAGTCTTCGGAGGGGGGACCAGCGGAGCCAGCGAAGGAGAAGACGAAGACGAAGATGACGGCTAAACGGGCTTCCAAGGAGCCCGAGACCAACGCGAAGAAGAGGACGAAGAATCGTACTGCTGCGCGGGATTCCAAGAAGGACATCAGCGATATGGACGAGGAAGGCGATGAGGAGTTGGGCAAGATGGCAAAGAAACAACGAACCGTTGTTCACCCGAGCGGCGAGGAAAGCGAGAGCGACGAGAAGGCGGCTGCGGCTGTACGGGCTTCCCAGTTGCCCGCAGACAGCTCGAACGATGCACGCGAGGCGATGGATGTCGACGAACAGTCTGAACAATGTGAACCACCTCAAGCACGCGTCTCTGTCACTCCGCCACCTTGTGGTCAACCCCCAAGAGCCACCCAAGCTCCTCCCTCAAGCATGCAAACGACGGGCGCCACTCAAGGATCGACCGGCACTGATCCTATGTCGCAGTGGGATCACACGCAGGACATGAACACTCGTACTCCGCGCTTCGTCGATATACGCGACGGGTCAGTTTACCCCCCCGTCGTCCACCCGCCTTCCGACGCCTTGGCGGAATGGCGCGAAACCCTGAGGGAGTTCATTCGAGAAAGCCAGTTCGAGGTCGACGAGAACGTCCTTGTGGGCACTCCGCCGCTATCCAACAGCGGATTGGATGCCAATATGTTGGCCGCATCTATCAATGATATCTCGATGTATGAGGAATCCCCTCCGCCGCCCTCTGGAGGTACGCCACCCCGCAGTCACAAGCACAGTCGTCCCCCAGAGGAAGTCAGTCCCAAAGCAGACCGTCGCGCGCACAAACGCACGGCGCCATCGTCTGAAGGTGAAGATTTCACCACAGAGATGGCAGGCGTCAGGGATAGCTCCCCCACGAATAATAATCCCTACAACTTAGCGATTGGGGCGACTTCGCAGGTCGACGAACCAGTCCCCCCGCTCGCCTTCAAGCCTATCAAATCGAAGAAAGACGGTATGCGTAGCAAGACAGGGTCCTCGAAGGCTGGCTCTTCAAAGCATCGCAGTTCCACTCGACGATAAATATGATGCTGTTGCGTATTCCACCATGCCCGTCCTTTCATACTCATTCTGTACAAAACTGTTCCTCTGTTTTTATCACTCGCACTCATACCTATGCTTCTCTCGACTTTATGCTCGCGATACTCGTACCTATTATGCTCCTCGAACTTTTATGATTTACTCCCTCATGTATTACATGTACCCTATGGTTTACATACAACGAACGGACAATATATGGATGTCTCCCCATGTCTTCACGGGCTACCAGGGCGCTTGACGGGCTGCGAAGTTGCCCGTAGATGCGACGGCGCGGTGTCTCTGGACGCGTGTGCTGTGCGGGCTGCCTAGTGGCCCGCGGCAGACGTCGAGACGGGCTGTCGAGATGCCCGTGTGGTCGAGTGAACCTCTTCCAGTCGCCTTCGAAGCCACGGGCACCCAAGTAGCCCGTGGCGAGTCCTGCGTCTACCTCCCCGTCTCTTTGCCTCTACGGTCTGCAAGCCCTCTAATCTGCCATAGCGACATCGCCCGAGTTCTGCTGCAGTCCGTTAGACGTGAACGAAAAGAAGGAAGTCGATTGACGCACCTGTGGGCTCAGCCTGTCCTTCAAAATCCATGGCTGCCGTCTTCTCCATTACTACGCATGTCATCGCCGCAGTATCCGACTGCGCGCTGCCTCGAACTTCCGTTTGCACTTTTTGGGCTTTTCTGGCCTTCGTCAGCACCCTCTTCGCCGCTATCGTCGGATTCGGACCGTCTGAAAGTTGGACGGAGCGCGAATGGGAGCAGTGTATGTGGTCATGGTATAGATTTGAAGGCTGTCGAAGATCCATGAGATCCGACGAATGCTCACAACTCGGGACTTACGAATGATCCTCCAGCGGGGTGCTGGACGTGTCGCGGGCCGTCTAGTCGCCCGGGGCTGCGAAGGGGACAAGTAGGTGGATTCGGGCGTCGTTGCGGGCTGTCTGGTCGCCCGTGGTTGCGAGGGGTACGGTGGGTGGGTCGCCGGCTCGAAGGGTTCGTTCATCAATATCTCCCAGATGTCGGTTTGTGTGGGGCCACTGCCCCTCTCGGGCGACTAGACGGCCCGCAACGACGCCTGCTCCACCATATCCGGTTCCCCCGCGCGGCCAGCACGCGACTAGGCACTGAGTGCGGGCTACCTGGGTGCCCGTATAGTGCTCGCTTTTGGGTGTGCTGCGCGTGCGGCTGGGATGCCTACTGAGTAATGGGTTTTACCCATTGATAAGCGTCTAAACAAGCGCCGCAACTACCCGATAAGACAAGGCGCTTGTGCAATTCGCACACCTTGCGTTTCGACATGTCGTGGGCCCAACCAGAGCAAATCGAGTTCCTCAACTCTCGCGTGCAGGAGTTCCAAGACTCAATGGACTCCAAATCGGATCAAACCAAGTTCTGGGAGAGGCTGCGTACGGATTGGAAGGCGAAGTGGGACTTGTCCGCGAAGCAGAGCAAGGTACGTGCCTATTTCTGTCTGGCTATCGAGCTAACGACACGTGCAGAGATTCTCAACACATTTCCGCCAGGAGATGCGAAACCGGGGGGCCGACAGAAAGGCCGTCAACAAGGCCACGAAACCTGCTGAGAAGGCGGCTCCTAAGCGGACTCCAAGGATCACTCCTTCTGGCAAGCCGACTCCAAGGATCATTCCTGGCGATCTCATCGAGGTTCATCGCCAGCGATCCCGCAGCCCATCGTCTTCTGATTACTCGCCAACCGCTGCCCAATCCCCCCTCCGTGTTCAATCGCCGACCCCGGCAAAAGACTCGCCAACGGCAGTCTCATCCGACCTTTTCGGCGACTCGCCCGCACCTACTCCCCATACGCACGTCTCGACAGAGTTGGTCCCGTCGTCACAATCCCCGGGAGTTCCTGTTTTGCCCCCCGCGTGAGTCTTTCCTTTCTTTCTGCTTTATTCGACTCATACTCATTCCTTGCAGGAGAGTCTGGTCAAGGGAGCTCACCAAGTCCCTCGCGTTCCACCTGGAGTTGCCGGGGATCGCGCGCGACGACGTCGACCTGATTGTTCAAGGCCAGATGCTCTCGGTATCCGCGCAAACTAACAATGTTGCATACCAGTGGTCGAAAGACGTAGGGGGCCAAGTAGTCGTAAGTCCCAGCGTCCTTAACCCAGACTGATTAATCACTGGAGTAGCCTGAAAGTGTCCGCGCTGGGCTCGCCGATGGCGAGTTACGCATAATCGTGAACGTTGACTGCACTGTAGAAGTCAACAAAAATTGGACGAACTTCCACGTCTCCGGTGAGTGTTTCGGTTCCTCATCGCTGTAGCCTGACCTGATCCCACCTTAGACACATGTCCGTGGTAGACGTGCCCCATTTCCTTGATTCGACGCAATTACCGCGCGTCCGCCCCCGCTTCATCTTCATATCGCGTACTCTAGAACATATATCGCATCTCACATTTTGTTTTCAGCTCGCCGCAACATTTTTCTATCACCATTTTGGACTTATCGTGTCGCTTTTTTGTACTAGAACCCCCGATTTTGTATTGATAGCGCCCCTCACACATCTTGTATTTATATTAGGTTGCTATCCCTTGAACAAACGCAGTCATCGCGCGTTGAATAACTACTAGAGTTCTTCCACGCCATGGCCGGGTCGGGAGGGTCTTATTGATACTGCCGTCAAGACTGCCGAGACGGGATACATCCAGCGCCGTCTCGTGAAGGCCCTAGAGGATGTCCAAGTCTGCTGCGACGGGACCGTCAGGAATTCCCTGGGCGATCTCATCCAGTTTGTCTATGGCGAGGATGGCATGGGTGGCGCCTTATTGAAAAGCAGGACATTGCGATCTTCGGCGTCAACCATGCTCAATTCAAGCACAATTATCACGTCGACGTCGTTGATCCCGCTGGGGGTTTCCTGCCAGGCGTTCTGCAGGTCGGAGTCGACGATTCCTCCCCGGAGCTGCAGGCGAAGCTAGACGAGGAGTTTGCCCAACCGTGTATGCAGACGGCTCTACCCTCACCACGGGCGGCCTGGAAGCCCACACGCATTCTGTGAACGTAGAACGTTAAGTCGATACACGTTGACGCGTCCAAGACTCACCACGACCAGCGAGAAGGACCAGGCGGGTAGACGAGGTCGATGTGACGTACCCACGACGGTCTGGGCTGCTGGGATGCCCGCGCGTATAGAGGGCTCCGCTCTGCGGGCACCCAGGTATCCCGTGAGGATGCCCGCTCTACTCCCTATTCCCCTCCGCTGTTACACGCACGGGCTGCTTGAAGCTGCCTTCTTGGCCTCCGTGTCGCCGCTTCTAGCATTGGAGCCAGCAGCAAGGGCTGATTGCTCCTTCCTACGGTCACTATATCGGATGTTAGTGCAAGGCTCCTGATGCGTAGTCGACAATTGGATACAACGTGGATAACAGCGGCAAATCTAGAGGAATTGTACGCAGACGATCGACCACAAGCTTTGAAATTTGACTGGTTGACCATTTAGGGTGGCTAGGTCTCGGGTCTTCGTCGTGATTCATCAAACATTCATGCTGCCATCGCCATACAGCATTAGCTGTATCAGCCGCTTCTGCATCACAGTAGTGCTGATGCCCCGTAACTAGATCATGCTTTACTGATAGCATCATCCGAGTGACCGATATGATTCGCTAGCTGATTCAGGCGGTGAGGCTCGGTAGTCGGAGGTGGTGGGTTGACTTTGACTGACGCGCGGCTGAGCTCACATATGAATTTTCAGGAAAGCTGACAACGAAAGTCGATTGTAATGCTGTGATGATCTTAGCGATAAATTCGGATATTGATGAGTGAAGGAGACAATTGCACCAAGTCGGGAGGATCCAAACATGCGCGAAGAGTGGGTGAAGGGCCCGGTTTGGTCTTGCTCAGCCACCAAAACAACAACGACGACGAGAGGTGACCCCCTCCTTGATTCTTTCCTGTTTCCTCTATCATCTACGCGGGCGATATACGATTGGAATATACCGCTTACGGCCTTGTAATCGACCCCAAACGCCTTCCCATTTCTTGGAATTTTGACCGCAGACCGCCATGCGTGAATCAAACTTCGCTTTTCCGGCGCAGAATAGGGCTTGTGTGTGTATAACGTCTCAACTTTATGATAGGCGAGGTGAGTAGCGTGTTCCCAACGCCTTGATTGCTCACATAGCTTGGATTTAGCATTGGATACAACCTCGCCATTGCCGCTCTTCAACTCGCTTACGCAGCTGGTATACCTTACATCGACTTCTCCGAGAATCCGAGAAATTATGACCATGGACGGTGGACTCGAGCGCCTAGTACTAGTACGCATCCTTCATGACTTCTGCATATGCCCGCCGCCGCCAGAGAATCCCGCCATGCTGTATGGACTTTCCCCGCCCACCGCACGGCCGAACAAACTCGTACCCACTCTCAATCCGCCATCCTTCGATAAACACGCTGCCTACAGATTCTCGCTCGCTTTCCAGTGCCTAGTCAACATTGGGGTGAGAGGCAGCGAGCTGATCAGAAGTCGTGTCGTTCAAGCCGGGACATTGTTGTGGGGTGTATATTAGAGGCGTGGCTTGCGAACAAGGGATTTGCGGTTGGGCCCAGCGCGAGTGCTACTGGTATGCCCCAAGGAGACGAGGGAGCAGCGTCAGGCAAGGCGGATGTTGCAGAACGAGCAGAGACAGCGTCAAGATGTTGACGCGCTGTATAGGGCTCTCATTCGGCAGCAAATGGAGCAGCAGGCGGAGGGACGATCAGCAGAACCGGAGGTATGTTCCGCTTTGATTGTCTGTATCGTTCGTGTGACCCTCAACATTCGCGACTTCTGCGCGTACCCAGCCACTCCCTTCGTTCAACGGGCATCCCAGTCGCCCGCGGCCACTTCTGCACATACCCAGCCACCCCCTTCGTCTTAACGTCACACCCAGCCACCCCCTTCGTTCAACGGGCACCCCCGTCGCCCGCGGCCACTTCTGCACGTACCCAGCCACCCCCATCGTCTCAACGGGCATCCCAGTCGCCCGCAGCGCCCGGTGCACACATACAGCTGAAGACGCAGCGCCGTCTTACGCACAGGCGTCCCCGTAGCCCATACACTCGCCGATAACTAACGAGGCAGTAGTTTCATTCTAGCTATGATACATTGAGAAAGGACGACTGCAGAATCATAAATGACGGTGGTAGTAGTACTGACTGGGAGAAACAGAAATATATGCCTAAATCGGTGACAGATGATGGTGTACGAAGGCGGACAGTCTACAGGTAAGGAATTATACTAAGTGATGAGAAATTGCTCGGAAAGAATATGCAAGGGACATCAAACTCCCGTGGATACGACTCCCAGCGACCGCAGAGCACTATGAAAACATGAGTTGTGCAATGGTAGAGAGAGGTACCGTACGCACTGTTGGCACATTGCCTGATCCCATTACGACTTTCATCCTTCCTACACGCGTTTCCCATAATCACTCCGGCCCAGTATTGTATTTCTTGGGGCAATTTCGGTGGCGCGTTCGGTAAATCCGACTCGCTAGCGCTAGGTCGGAACGTAAAGCGCTCGACCAAGGAGAAGACGTTGGTTTGGTGGACGGGTTGGGGGTTGGGAGATGACGTGAACGCTTTGTAGGTCGAAGACGACGGAGAAGGTCCATTCGTAGTTGATGGGATGGGGTTGGTTGATGTTGATGATGATGACGGCCCCGCAATCGAGGAGCCATAGACAGAGGCGTTCGCGCGTTCCTTCTCCTTTCACACCTGTACACCTCCAGGGTAGCTCCGGCCAGGTAGCTGTGCGCTTGCTGGGTGAAAGGAGAGTCGAGGCTTGTAGAAAGCTTGCCTGACATGAGGGTACTTGCTGAGATATGCAAGTAATTGCAGGCTGAGAACGACGTCTTCGTCCCCAGTCGGTATCGCGATGACCATGGCAGGGTACGAGCCTTGGTACGGGCAGCAGTCGGCGCGGGCGACGGGGGTGCCCGTTGAACGAAGGGGGTGGCTGGGTGCGACGTTAAGACGAAGGGAGTGGCTGGGTACGCGCAGAAGTGGCTGCGGGCGACGGGGGTGCCCGTTGAACGAAGGGAGTGGCTGGGAGTGCCTTGGTACGCGCGGCTACGCCCGTGGGCATCCCAGCAGCCCATACTGTCGTGAGTGCACTGTATCGACCTCGTCTGCACGCCTGGTCATCCTCACTGGTCGTGGTGAGGGGAAACGGGTATAGGGTGTGAGCCCGGACGCAGAGATAAGGTGGAGCTTACCAGTGAAACTGTCCATCCAGTCCCCCAACCAGCCCCAATCGACGTTCGCGCAGGGTGGTGGTGGGTCGGGATGGAACAAGTCCGTAAGCGCCCAACGTTGAGTCACACTTGTGACACCAAAACAGGGGTGGCTGACCTGGGCAAGGGGTTATCGAACTTGCCTCTATTCCGCCACCTCCTTCGCCTTCGACATGCCGTGGGCGACTCCCGAGCAGCTCGCCTACATGAACACGATGGTTCTACAGTACCACGGCACGGTGAAGGGGACTCCTGAGCGTAGGAAGTTCAACGCAGAGCTTCGTGAGGGTTGGTCGCGGCAGTGGCCTTTGCTAGAGCAGCATACCAATGTGCGTGGCCATGGAACTCTCAGATGGTCTACTAACGAATCAAATAGATGTTCTCCTCGTATTTCCGCGAGGAACTGATAAGACGGGGCCTCATCCCTAGGCGCACCCGCAAGCCAACACCCAAGAAGCGCAAGAAGCGCAAGTCTGCAATGCCGAATCCCCCAGATCCTCCTGCTCGTTCTCCTGTTGCTTCAACAGAGTCCATCACGATTTATCACCGCCGCCTAGTGCCACACGCATCCCCCAGCCGACCTTCTTCACAACACTCGCCAACGCCAGGCCCATCTCGCGCCCGCCGCCATTCGCCAACGCCAGGCCCATCCCGTGCCCGCCGCCATTCGCCAACGCCAGGCCCATCTCGTGCCCGCCGCCATTCGCCAACGCCAGTTCCATCCCCCCTCCCACCTTCTTCACATCACACGCCAACACCAGGCCTGTCTGATCCTTTTGACCACACACCAACACCTGCTCAATCCCGCCTCCGACTTCAATCGCCAACCCCACCCGTTCCGTACACTCTGCCATCTCCCGCATCCTCGCATCACTCGACATCGCCATCTCCTTTCCGCGTCTGGACAGAGTGCGTTCCATCGTCTCAGTCCCCGTCTCCGCGCCCCCTGCACATGCCCCCAAAAGCAGGGGATGTTCCTGTTTCCCCGCCCGCGTAAGTTCTTCGGTTTCGTTTTCGTTTATTGACCTCTTATTGATCTTTGCAGCAAAATCCTTCAAAAGGAGCTCGGCAAGTGCCTCGCATTCCATTTGGAGTTGCCGGGCGTCACTCGCAACGACATCGACCTCATTATCCAAGGCCAACGGATTTCGGTGGTCGCGCAAACGAACGAGGTCTCATACAAGTGGTCAACAGACGTGGGGGGCCAAGTAATTGTAAGTCCCCAAGTCCTTCAACCAGCCTGATTACTCACTACAGTAGCCCGAAAGCGTCAGATCTGGGTTCGCCGACGGTGTTCTGCGCATCATCGTGAACGTCACTGGCGACGTGAAGGTCACCAACGCGTGGCGCACCTTCCACATCTCTAGTAAGTTCATTTGCCTGCTTATTTCTCTAGCCACGCCTGACTCCACCGTAGGTACATGTCCATCATGGTAGACGCGCCCCATTCTCTCTCATTTGACGCAATCACCGCGCGTCTGCTGCCGCAATATCGTCTCTTCTTGCATGCTTAGATCTTAAAACCCATCTTGTATACGTAGCTCTTCATTTTGTACAATCTTGTTGCATTTACACCCCGCTTACTTGTATTGATAGCACCCCACTACCTATCTTGTATTTATATTAGGCCGCTATCACTGCACGATGGACTCACAATAAGAGCTGTCCGCTTCACAGGCTACCAGGATGCCCGTGCATGAGAGTGCAGCATCAGGAAAGCTGTCCGCTGCATGGGCTACCAGGGTGCCCGTGGTGTGAGAGGCCTGTATTGGCCGTGTTCACGCTATGGGCCACCACGGTGCCCGTGCAGCGGTGAGTGGTATGTGAGGCTGTGTGCGGTGTGGCACCCTAGTGGCCCATGGAGTGGAGCCCACCGTTATCGACCACTCTCACTGCGGGCACCTGAACAGCCCGTGGAGCAGAGAGGGTTACTGTGGTCCCACTCTCACTGTGGGCTACAAGAGTGCCCGTGAAGAGTGGCACTACACCAGTCCCACTCCCGTTGTGGGCTGCCGAGGTGCCCGTGTGGTTTTCGGGCAACTTCTGCGGTGAGTGTGGGACATTTACGGCCGTGGGAGAAACATTTTGAACCCTAATTTAGGGGTTGGAAACCCTATGGTAGGGTTCAAATAGTCGGTAGGGGATCCCTACAATCTTTTTTTTTCATCTATAACCCTGATTTCGTACATGATGCGCTCGGTTACACGATCGTGAGGCCATTTGTCGGATGGGAGAGCCTCGCTGTGCCAGTTAAGATCTTCATGGCGATCCTTGTGATCCTCATCGAGTTCTTCAGTCCACTTGGCCAGGAGATCTTGCATATTTTGGCGACGAATGGCGTGCTTGTCGAGTTTGATCTTCTTCTGCGCAGGCTCGCTCGTTTGGGACGTTTCTGGACCCAGTAGGAAATCCCACTTGATGCGGGAGAGGGGGGTTGGCGACAGCCGAGGCGACATGCAAAGTAAGAGTACATCAAGATGGTTGATGAACGTATGCAAGATCTTAAGTTGGCGCGGTCTGAGGTTGTCTTCGGAGTTAAGTGGCACGATCGCGGTGGGCGGAGGAAAGATGAATCCGTTCCTTCCCTCTATGTATTCCGGGGAGACGTATTTCTGCTTCACCACAACAGTCGAAAGCCCATGTTGCCAGGCTGCCATCATGATCGGCATGAACCGATGACGATTGGGGCGGAAATGGAGGGCGTCCGCCGGGTTTATGATAAGGCGTCTCTTGGGCTCCGAGTCTGTGGGCAAAAACGTTAGAGGAGGACGATAAGTTAAGTTTCGACTCACCTTGTTTGTCGTCTTGTGGCGGTTTGGGCGCACAAGAAGGGCCCGCGGAGTAGTCTTGGCCGAAGCTGGGAATGGGGGGCGGCCTTTCAATGGTGTCACGCAAAGATGATGTGCGACCAAAGTCCGTGTAGGCGAGAAACTCGCGGCCGAAGAGCATAAGATTATTGTGGCGCTGGGGGTCAGCCGCGTCCGTGTTCCATACGATCGTCTTGTGGCCGCGCCAAGGTCGCAGCTCGATGTTCATGGCCTCGGCGGGAGTAGGATTGATGACGGTATCGATACGCGTGTCCGCGTTGAACTCGCGGATGGGCCTGATAAGCCAAACAGGCACGCCGGCCTTGGCTAGCTCTTCGACAACGACAACCTTGTTCGTCACCGCGCCTACAAAGTTGGCCGCGGGCCTGAGTATGCCTCCGTACTCCGGCGAGTCCATGAGCGGTTTGCGGACTTGCATATATTCCAAGTAGGCTTCCAACTCGAGGAAGTGCCGCTGCGCTTGAGTAAAAGAAAATAGAATATCCGGCCAGGACGCCTTGGTACTCTCCAAGCGTCCAATCCAGATTTTGAGCTGGGTCGCGTGGCCGTGGAACCGCCGATTCTGCGCAAGGTCAGGTCTGGATTCGATGAAGGCGTAGTAACGTTTCACAAGGAGAACGGCTGGCTCACGGATCCGAGATACGAGGTGGTGGTCCATTTGGCCGATTCGGGATTGGTGAGATGCGCAGAAGTGGTATTGATAAACGGGGTCGATGAACATGACATCCTGGGTATCTTCTCGCTGGGTGGGGGGTCGGCGAATGCATGCAAGATGGGGGTGTTCGCTTATGTACTGCTGAGGGAGCAAGAAGGGGTCCTCAGCGCCGAATCTGCCATCCTGCCTGAGCTGGACGATGGTAGTGAGCCCGAGAACCGGCTCAAATATGTTGTCGGCGTTGGGAGTAGTTATAAACGCTTTGCCTTCGAATAGGATGGCTCCCATGGTGCCATCGAGATAGCCAAAGTTTGCCAAAGGCTTCGAGCGATTGCGACTTAGCAGGTCGGGTTTTTTTTTGACTTCTTCGGCGGTAAGTGACATAGACAGTATCTATCAAGTTCGTACGTTGAGTATATACGGTGTTTACTTGGGAAGGAGAAGCGAAAGGAGAAGAAAGAAGAGGAATCTGGCGACAGACGGTGTCTTTTAGGATGGGACATCGGGGACGATCAAGACGAATAAAAGATAGCTGCACGCCGTCAATCTACGATTGTGGGCAGGTGCACCCTATCGCGGCAGTCTACGACTGTGGCGACGGGCCTATGGATGGAGGGAGGGAAGAAGGAGGAGCAAGCGGGACCGGAGTACTCACCGTTTGGACTTAGGTTTTTCGTGAAAGCAATAAGCGCCGGGTGTCAGTGTTAAGTAATCCGATTGGACTCCGATCGTTCTCCGATCAAACGCCAGAGGGAGGCGCTTATTGTAAGTTCGTCCCCTTGTCCCTCACCAACACCACCCATTCGCACTGCTACGGGTCCATCCACGCTCGTAGAGCGACGGTGGACCCTCAGGATGCCCATAGTCGTAGACTACCGGCTCCTCACCCTCTGGCACCAACGAATCGTCCAAATTTTACACTCCCTTGCCCCGGCCGACGTCCAACAACCCAACCGTGCTGCTACGGGTCCATCCACGCTCGTAGAGCGACGGTGGACCCTAAGGATGCCCATAGTCGTAGACTACCGGCTCCTGGCCCTCTGGCACCACCTCCGAGGCCGAAGTTGGCACACCCTGGCATTTGTTCTTTGCGCGCGACGCAGCGGGAGAAGATATCGGAACCGATGAGGGGTCGGATGGGCCACGATAGGGAGAAAGGGCTAGGGAGTGGCTGGGGGAATGATGGAGGCCGGAATCTTGGGTAGAGCGCTGAATGAATGTGCGAGGTACGTCGATTTCCATGGATTTTTCTGGCACCTCACCTATTTTTCTCAGATCGTTAGCTCAAAGAGACAGGACGCCGCGAGCGCACATGGGCTGTCGATGTATGTACTCCGTAAGTCCTGGTTGCCTGGTTACGTCTATGTCAACGGCCCGTGAGCTAACTGTATAGGCAGTCGTGGATTTTGTTCTCTGATAGGATTTCCTTCGCGCTTCGCCTGCGGAGGCATGGCTGAGTTTTTCGTGTGGACTGTGGGGTGTTCACTACCTCTCACGTGTAGTCATTTGACCAAACGATTTCCCTTGTGTTCGCCTGAGGCCTCTGCCAGTCATCTTTGCCCAGCGCCCTTGGCGGGGAGGCCCCTGTCTGCTTGCTCGTGATCGCGCGCTCGGGAGTGGTGCCCGCCTGTGCAGCTTCACGTGTCTTCGCTCGGCCGAACTGCCGATTCACACCTTCGCCGCGATGCCCGTGTCCATCCCCTCGCTGGGGGGGCCCCTGTCTCTCACGTGCGTGTCTCACCTGCGCCGCGATGCCCGTGTCCATCCCCTCGCTGGGGGGGCCCCTGTCTCTCACGTGCGTGTCTCACCTACGCCGCGATGCCCGTGTCCATCCCCTCGCTGGGGGGGCCCCTGTCTCTCACGTGCGTATCTCACCTGCGCCGCGATGCCCGTATCCATCCCCTCGTTGGGGAAGGCCTTGTCCTCCTGTCCTCCCCCCGCCGCCGTTCGCCGTCTTTCAGGACACGGCGTCCTTCAGCCCGGCCCCCGGAGCCTGCGAGTCCACATGGCACGTCTAGCGTGCCCACTGCATCCATGCGAAGGCAAGTGCTCCTACGCTACGCAATGGTGAGTTGGACTTGTCCTCAAGTCACCTAACCTAACCAACGAAGACAGTCGCTCGTAAACGAGCTCCAGATACAATATACCGAAACCCGAAACCTCAACTCCCTAAGGTCCTAACGCCCTACATCCCTAATCCGTTGACTTGGGATCGTGATGGATCCGGGTTAGAGCTCGTTGACGAGCTCTAACCCTTGTAGCTTGTACGCAATGTTAATTCCGACTTCTCCTGCACTCACCTAACCTAACCAGCCGAGACAGTCGCTCGTAAACGAGCTCCAGATACAATATACCGAAACCCGAAACCTCAACCCCCTAAGGTCCTAACGCCGTAAGGCCCTAATCCGTGGGCTTTCATTTGATGGTGAGTCCGCGTTAGAGCTCGTAAACGAGCTCTAACCCTTATTGTTTAAAGGCAGTCCTTAATCCGAAAGATCAATTACCTGGCTGTCAATATCACTTGTAACTGAGCTCTACTGGAAATATACGTGGATCCGAAGCTCCTGCCCCTTAAGTTCCTATCTCTGAAGGCTCCAATGCAAATACGTTGTCCGAATTCAGGAGAATAAGATAGGATTGCATGCATGAGAAGGCATGGAATCGCGTTAGAGCTCGCGTTCGCGAGCTCTAACGCTCTAATCCCAAGCCACATAGCTATCTAACTTGGTAGTTGAATGGTAAAATATACATATTTGTGTGATATATTACAGGGTTCTGGCCAATAAGTGATATGATGAGGTTGAAAGAAAGAGGTAGGGTGGTCCATAAGTACCAGTTTTGGGCCGACCTAACCCAGCACTAGGTCCGGAGTCAGTGGATAGGAGATGGTATTAGAGTGTCACGCCACGTGGACGACGCCGAGACGGTGGCGTGTGAGTCTTTTTGGCGCCGAACTGAGTGTCACGGACGTGGGCAAGGGTTTATCGCGCTTGCTCACCACCTCGTTCACCCCCTCGTTCGGATTCAATATGCCGTGGGCCACTCCCGAGCAGCTCGAGTACATGAGTACAAAGGTTCTAGCTTACCACGCCACGGTGAAGGGGACAGCTGAGCGTAGAAAGTTCAACGCGGAGGTTCGTCAAGGTTGGTCGGAGCGGTGGCCTTTATTGGACCAACATATCAGGGTGCGTGGCCGTGGAACGATGAGATACTATACTGACCGATACTTTAGATGTTTTCCTCGTATTTCCGCGAGGAATTGATCAAACGGGGCCTTGTCCCAAGGCGCAAGCGCAAGCCAGCGCCCAAGAAGCCAAATCAGCCGAAGGCTACTCCATCAACCCCCCCCGATGCCCCTGCTCGTCTTCCTCTCGCTTGGACATCTCACCATCAAGACACACGCTCATTGGAGCCGACTTCGGAGCTGATCTTGGCGACTCGTTCCCCCGTCGCTTCGACATCATTCAGGGAGGATCCGCGCCCCGTCGAGGACCTCATTCTCGGTCTCTCGATCACCCCGCGAGTGACCCCGCCTTTAGATTCCTCACTGCACCCTCCTTACTCCCGCTCGTCGACAGTCTCAGTTGAGAGACTTCTTTTACAAGATGTAGTGAGCTCGCCCCCACCGGATGGCAGAGAGAGACGGGACGATGAAACGATAGCCCCTCTTCCTCGGTAAGTCCCCTTCTCTCTCTCTCTCTCTCTTTTCCTGTAACATCGTCGTTTGCAGGCAGGTACGGCAGCGAGCTGCGACGCGGTCCCTCCGCTTCCAACTGAACCTACCGGGAATTGAGCACGACGATGTACGTCTTTTCGTACAAGACCAACGGCTGGCTGTTTGCGCGCATAACTCAAGCGTATCGTACGAGTGGGAGATGGACCTTGGTGGCAATATCTTGGTGAGTCCATAGTGCGCGCGCCATTCACGGTCACTCACTCACGTCCATAGCCGGACCGCGTCCACGGCGGGATCGTCTCGGGAGATCTACGCCTCGCTGTCACCGTCGAGGAAGCCGTGGTCGCCGATGTCGATCACTGGGTGTTCACGATCACCAGTAAGTCTATTTCACACCATCTTCGCATCGCTAACTTCATTTCTGTCAGATGAATGGCCATGGTAGGTTCTAGGCGCACGCTCTCCCGCCCGTTTGCTTCATATCTTGTACAACACGCCTTCGACGACACTACAGCTCACATACAATCTCGATTTCAATTGCCTTCCCAATGTATCGCTAACGCAGGCTCCCTGGCCGCGCACACTCGGACTCCCCCCCATGATTGTATTGATAGCGTCCATCCATGTCTTGTATTTATATTAGCTCGCTCAACATCTATGTCAATGAGTCAATTGCCTTTTTCTTTGTCTCAACCCACCTACTCACCATGACAATGCACACCGCGCGCTGGCGGCATGCAGACGGTTCGTGATCTTCGTCGACGCTGTCGATGTGCACCACGAAGGCAAACTTGAAGTCATTGAGGAGCGAGAGACCCATCGGGTGCAGGCAGGATGTCGCAACGATGGTGCGATGGGCGTGCTAGAAGACCGCGGAGTAGCAGGCGATATTCCAATGTAGTAAGCCTGGGAGGGAGGGGAGACGGACGAGGTAAGCAGACAACTACTTGCGGCCTTTCCTTCCTACTTGACGTCTCTTTTTGTAGCTTAGGGACGCTCCTCTTAACGGGACCGGCCACTTGGGCGCGTATCTGCTTGGAGAAGCACGCGGGGTCAGGTCATTCTCGCGCAATGGTGAGACCTCGACCAAGAAACTGGAGAGAGCGATGGGAGCGGTATTGTTCGAGTAACAAGGCGAAGATGCGGGAAAGAGACGGCGGGTGCGCAGAGAGAAGGAGGGGGCCGTGGGGACGTCACTGATGCGAGGTCAACCCTCGCGTCTCTATGTACATGTACCCGCTGCAACAGAACAAATGCACAACGGACCACCTCTACCTCTGGCTCGCAGTTAGTGATCGCCGTGCATGGCAAAGTGGTGTGGCATTCCTTCTTCGTCCCTTGACTCCCCCATTCCCTGCTCGCTCCCCCATCCCCTGCTTTGTCCCTCTCCGCTCTCTCCATCCGTCTCGCTGACCCGCCTATTCGTACACCCGTTCACAACGACAAACAGCTCTGGCGCGCCGACTCGACAGCGTGATAGACGTGCGGGCCAGCGCCGTTGAACGGAGGCTTGATGGTTGCGGGCGTGGCGTAGGGAGTTTGCGATTGGTCGTGGTTGCGAGCATGCAGTTAGGGATGGGGGTTGAGGGTATGGCTGTGGGGGACGGTGCGATTGTGATTGCTTTTGTCACGTTCGATTTAACCCTTGAGTTTGGCGTCGTCCGTCTCCAAAACCCACTCTTTCTCCTGATTGGCCTGGATGCTGCTGTCCTCAGCGGCCGTAACCTTGTCATGTTCCATCAGGAAGACACGGTTAATGTTCTCCACGCCGCGCAAGCTGACGGAGCTGAGCATAGTGTTCTCTAGCTGTCGCAAGAAAACGTCCTCCTCGACCTCGCTGACATCCTCCTTGTCGTGCGTACTGAGTACTCGGCAACGAACAATAAGCTTCTCCGCGTTATCCTCACTCCAGATTACGAAGATGTCGGTTTTGAAACATTCGGAGATACGCCCGGCGACGTAGGCCATAGTAAGCTTGCGATCAATCATCTTGACTCGATCAAGCTCTAAACGCAGGAGCCAAGGTGATTGGAGATGCAATTTGCTGGATATTTCCTCGTCGGGGATTGCGAAGAAAGATTCGACGAACACTGCGTCGTCTTCGATGATGGTAGAGGAAGGGTCAAGATCGTACCAAATTTCGACAGCGGCCGTGACGGTACGAAGAGTCGTGTAAGCGAGCTCCTGTTGGACATTCTTCGCGAGGTATTGATTCTTTGAGATTTCAGGCTCCAAGTACACCGACAGCGAAGGGGTCTTAATGTTATTGGCGACGTTGATGATCTCCTTCAGACGCGGTACACCGAGGGTGGATTGGCAATGGACTGGTTGAACTTCGCCTCGACTTTGCCGAGAACCCAGTCGAACGCTTCCCTGGTTAGATGATGCTGTTCGAGGACCTTCCGAGACGCGAATGTAGCGCGAAGATGCATGCTGAAGTTGAGGGTGGCATTGGTCTGCGCCTCACGACTCAAGGCGTCGTCGCCACGAACGACGATGAGGCGCTTCACGAGGTCTCTTACGGCATCGACGATGTAGGCTGGTTCGAGATCACTCGGTTTCCGTCGGTCAATGTGGAAGATCTGGCAGGCATTCTGCACGATTCGATTCAGATTGACGGGAAGGTAGTGGGACGAGCGAGGAACTGCTCGAGGGAAAACAAATTCGCGCAAGAGCTTCCTGTCTTCGCAGAGTTGAGCGAACTCCTCGTCTAGCTTCGCCTGTAGCTTGGGGGAGGAGTCGTCGACTCCGACCTGAAGGACGCCTGGCAAGAAACCCCCAGCGGGATCAACAACGTCGACATGATAATTATGCTTGAATTGAGCATGGTTGACACCGAAGGTCGCGATGTTCTGCTTTTCGATGAAGGCACCATCTATACCATCCTCGCCATAGACGAACTGGATAAGATCGCCGAGGGAGTTCCTGACGGTCCCGTCGTAGCAGACCTGAACATCCTCCAAGGCCTTTACGAGACAACGCTGGATGTAAGCCGTTTTGGAAGTCTTGACAGCGGTATCGATGAGACCCTCACGACCTGCAATGGCGTTGAAGAAGAACTCCTGGGGCGTTAGCCCCCGAAGGTACAAGTTCTCGACGAAGCCTCTTGCCTCAGGACTGAAGTCGTCCTTCGTGAAGTGAGGAAGTGTTCAATGACGGAAGCCGAACGGTATACGTCACCCCTCCACACTGTGTTGCCCCACGCAAACCAACATCTGGAAGATGTTGATGAAGGAACCCTTCGAACCGGCGACCACCATCTGCTTGACGTTGTTGTCCTCCTTCAAATTCTTTTGCGCGTACTGACCAGACGTATCACGGGCCAAATTGAGTTGCCGCTTGACTTGGCTTTCGAAGGATTCACGGATGGTCATACCGGGGGCGGCCTTGAGCTCGTCGATAGTCGCTTGCTCGGTGACCCTAACCCTAAAACCGTCCCTGCCATTGGGTCGAGCCAGCAGCGACGGAGCCAGTTGCCGGCGCTTGAGCAGGGTGATTCCACCCTGCTCAAGCGCCCAGGCGGCCCAAATTGAAACTCCGTCCCGCTCCACTCATTACTAAGTAAAATATCGTAGCCACACTGTGGCTACGATATTGCTCATTCAATATTCAAAAGTATATTGAATTTGTCTACCGCTAAGCGTAGCCACACTGTGGCTACAAGTTACTAATATAGTATTTCAAGGTATATAAATTTTCTCACCGTAGCCACACTGTGGCTACGAGTTACTAATATAGTATTTCAAGGTACATAAATTTTCTCACCGTAGCCACAGTGTGGCTACGAGTTTCTAAAACCGTCCCTGCCATTGGGTCGAGCCAGCGACGACGGACCCGGTCGCCGGGCGGCCGAGATTGAAACTCCGTCGCGGCCCACTCATTACTAAGTAAAATATCGTAGCCACAGTGTGGCTACGAATTGCTAATTAAGGTTTCAAATGTATATTCAATTTTTCTACCGCTGAGCGTAGCCACAGTGTGGCTACGAGGTGCTAATATAATATTTCTAAGGTATATAAAATTTTCCCACCGTAGCCACAGTGTGGCTACGGATTTCTGACACCGTGTTTCGGTTATCCCCACCATCTATCTTAGCCCGGCCAGTGCTAGCACTGGCTGGGCATAAGATAGATAGATGTATCACGGGCCAAATTGAGTTGCCGCTCGACTTGGCTTTCGAAGGATTCACAGATTGTCATACCAGGGGCGGCCTTGAGCTCGTCGATAGTCGCTCGCTCGGTGATGGCTGCGACTTCGGCCTTGTGGCTGGCGATAGTTTGCGTGATGAAGGCCATCGTCTTGGCGTCTGCAATCGTGTCCCCAATGCCAATGCTGAACCCGTTATGGAAAAGCCAGTAATTCACGACCTTCTGCAATCCAGAGAACAGCGCGCGCGCCCTCGGGGTCTTTCTCGCGGAAGATGACGTGGACGAGACCGCCTTGAGAGGCACCAACGGTCTTCTTCTCGACTATCCCCCAGGCGATCTCTCCATTCTCAGTGCACATCCCGTCGTCAAAATCGGGATTTGACGATTTAGGTTCCGCCGCACGGAAGATATTGATTCCCCGAGGTATGGCCAAACTGAGGATCTGCTTACCCATCCACATCGGTTTGGGTTTGATGATGGCTGGGATCGGCACTATGCCATCCCAATCAGGAACCCACAAGAGGATGTTCTGGACGGCATTCCAGTCCATGAACGTATCTCGCAGCGTGAGCTTGCGTATACCGCAAAGGGTATCTTGCACGAACCCCATGACTGGCTTGTTCGCTTGGGGCGACAATCTGTGGCAAGGTTTGAGCTGGAGCAAGGCAGACGGAACATCGTTGCTCACCTGCTGTGGTACCCAAGCTATCTGGCTCAGTTCCGCATGTGTCTCCTCACTCTGTGGTATACTGGGCTGCTTTGAGAATACAAACGACAAACGAGTACGACAACACGTACTGCATGTTCATCTCGTCACCTTCAAAATCGGCATTGTAAGACGGCGTACTAACGAGACGTCTAGCTTCATAGATAGCCCATGCACAATACACTTACACGGAAAGATTCAGGCGAAACGCTGATGGAAAGATGAGTATCGGGGTTCAGAGATTATAGGGAGGCACGTACTCGAATAGGGCATGAGCTTCACCCGATGACTCATCATACTCATCTTGTGAAGACTAGGCTGTCGATTGAAAAGAATGTAGCTAGCGGTAGGTTGAGCTAATGGCCGGGCAGGAGATTTGAAAAGGTAAACTTACTCGCCATCCTTTAGATGTCTCTCAACGATCCAGCCATATTGAAGGAAAGCATCCGCACACTTGTTATACCGCAGATCGATGCGCTCGCCAGTGTCTCTGATGACATACCGAGCACCAGAGTACGTTGTTGGACCATTACGAACAAGCTCCTGTAGATAAGAGATGTTGAACGGTGTGACTACACGGTGAGTAGGAGGGACCCATAGACCTTGACTTCACACGCACCTCGTTCTGGGAAGGTCAAGTTCATGGCTATCGACTTCGGTACGCCTACTTCATCCAGCTCCAGATTTGGGTCCCTTGGGATGACGGTACGCCCCAAGAAATCAACACGTTTACCCATCAGATTCCCAGGTAGCCTTCCTTCCATGCCCTTTAGACGAGCATGAATCGCCTTGACAGGTCGACCCGACTTCTGGAGCACCTGGGGTATCCCAGCGATATCATTATCCATGTAGGTAGCGACATGGAACTGAACACCGAGAGGTAAGCTTCAAACTTCATAAAGATCCAAGCACGAGCTGACCTGGAGCAACTGCTCAAACTCGGAGATAACGTAGGCTGGAGCACCCTCCTGTTCACATCTACGCACGTTGGCCGAGGCTTTGATGATGTCCCCGAGCTTGTATGTCAGATCGTCCTCGCTTTGCATGGTGCCCCCGTCTACAGCAATACTTGGCCTCACAGGCGGCGGAGGAACAGGCATGACGGTCAAGATCATCCATTCTGGCCGAGCATACTCCTCGGATAGCCAGATGATTTGGAGGTCCGAGTCTGTCATCTTTTTGAACGTCGTATACACCTCCGACGGCGTGATGAGCCGTATGTCGGGCTGTAGCGACTTGCCATCCTACGGGATCTCATCAGCTGCGATCTCAGCAGAATGGCGAGGTGATACAGACCTCGTCGTCTTCTTTCGACTTCTTATATTGCACGAACGGCTTCAAGCCTTCTTTCCGCACCTGGGGTTGGGTATGGCCGCAACCGCCGTGCCCCTTCTTGGGTTCCTCGGCATCGGCACCATCGGCCTCGTCCTTCTGCTCATCGGGTTCACAAATCATCTTCGTCTTGCAGTGGCTCCAAAAGACCGCCATACGCAATTTGGGATCGCGAATGTGGCGGATCTTGTCCGAGAAGTTGGGGTCCGACTTACATGTCTAACAGACGTTCACGAGCATTCAGACATTGGAGGTCAGATCGAGGGACGGGCAAGGCCAGGACGACGACATCATGAACAGGGGACAGTAGACGTCAGCTACTGTCTTACATGGGATATACACAAAAGGACATCTAGGCCGACACTTAAAGGTGAAGTACACACAGGGGGGTGAGACCAAAACTAGTGCAAAAGCCCAGCACACGCTCCTCAAGCTGCGTCACAGCGAAAAGCGGAGGAGCTGTCCATCACGGCCGATCAGCGACGCGGGTTACGAACCCTCGCCTTGCTATACGGCCACCCCTCGTCCCCACGGCGACTGCAGAATCCTCCGCCGTGAGCCATGCTCCCATGCCCAACATCCCCAGAATCACCATACCGAAAACGCGACCCACTCGCGTACATTTATGATCTGATCAGCCTGCAGCTCGTCCTGTGCGCGGCGACTGCTCTGTCGCCAACCTTTGTTCGGCCTCCACGCTGCCCCGGCGCCTTTCGACGGGCGCAGAATAGCGCAGACGCACCGTCCCTGACATCTTTCCGCAACACCGCCATGCCATAACCCGGCGAGACGCTCTGCTCGGGCTCCCTCTGGACTGCTCATCGCCCCAGCTGGCAGGGACATCCAGGTACAGGGTGCGGTCGCGCGGATGATGACGATGACGATGAGGATGGACTGCGGGTTTAGTGCATTGGGATTCGGAATGGATTATCGGCGGGCAGTCAAGGCGTCGAGGAGAGCGCGCGCACGCAGACGCCTTCCTTCGTTTCTTCGTTTCTTCACTTCGTCGTTTCTTCGTCTTCGTTTCTTCATTGCTTCACCTCTTCGTTATTCGTTTTATCAATTACTTCGTGATTCGCGTCTTCATTTCTTCATTTTCAATCTCTCTCCCCATTTATCTGCGCGCGCCACGACCTGCTACATGGTGCCCACTACCCTTTACCCGTTGCCCGCCGCGTCATATCACACAACCAGGTTCACAGTCCTCGCGTCGACTCTGCAACACGCGAACACAATGCCAGCGTAAACGTCAACGCTCAACCCACGAAAGCAAAAACGAAAAGAAACTAGGTGCGTACTTCGTCTTCGCGTGCATATCTCGTGTCCCGTTCCGTATCTGCCCCATTCCATCGTGACGAGTCTATTCTCCGGCGCCGTCTGGCCCTAAGTCGGTGTGTGCGTGCACGTTCCTTGTTTTCGTTTCTTCCCTACGCCCCGTTTTGCCTATGCAGTTTGTGGCTTTCGCTTCGTTTACGCATCCCGTCTTCGTTGGTGCCTTTGATTCTGACTTGCTGAAGCGTACGTGTTCGGACACATCTAGGTCGAGCAACTTGCGCGGCTTGGATTCTTTGAGCGGGATGCTGGGGGGCGAGGAGCGGTGTTATGGTATTGGGTGGTCGTCGTTGACCGTTTTGGGGGCGTGAAGTTGATTTGGAGGTTCGTGAGCAAGCGCACAGTTGCTAGGGTGGTTGGGGGTCGTAGGGACCCATTGTAGTAGCCGTTTTGGAGTTGACGGGAGGGGTGGAGCAGGGCTGGCAGTGAATGCGTCGGGGGACGGCCAGGCGAGGGTCTTGAGGGCGCTCAATGGCGTCACGTTGGACGGGGAAAGAGAGAGGGCGACGTGGGATTGTAGTAGGACGTTGGTAGTCGGTGGCAGCCGTTTTGAGGGTCATGTGAGGGAGTCGCGTCGGATCGGGTGTCGGGACGTAGGGTAGGCGCACTGCGGCGCGTGAGGCGAGTGAGGTCGAAGGGAGAGTTGGAGTGGCTGAGCGAGGATGGGAGCGCGAGTGAGGGAAAGAGCGAGGGAGAGGGAATGGAGTGAGTGGCTGAGATGGCTGAGTGGGGAGTTTTGAGAGAAAGGGTTGGCGTGCGTGTGAGGGGACGCGAATGGGCGAGCCTGCGCCCGGGCAACCGCAGCCTCAGAGTGCGATGTTGGCACAGGAGGGACAGGGAGTCGATGATTCGACTATGCTGCCTGGTGAGTCGGCGGCCAGCTATATTAGAGCGCGGGGAACATACCTGGCTCCCACACAATAGTCCCTTGTCCCTTCGCTGCTCTCTACTTCCGCAACCCTTCGTATTGCGCGTTTCGTTAGCTTCCCTTTGGTTCCACGTTCGTTCATTCTTGTTGCCTCGTTCGTTCCTTAGTTCGTGTCGTATTCCCGGATCCCGTTATGTCTCCATCTCTCCAGCGTCTGCCCATCGTCTCCCCGTTGCATTTCGCATTGGTTTCGTGTTCGTTCCCGTTCGCTTATTCATTTTCATGTCGTTCGTTCGTACTCATTCTCATCTTCATTTTCATTCGCTCATATAGTCCCGCCTCCTCCTTTCTGTACTCCCCCGCGATCCGAGCCTGACCCATTCGCACTACGCACTACGCACGACCAATGCCGGGAACGCGTCTCTCCGCCTTGTTTTTAGTGTTTGTGCGTGGCTCGGGGTATTCGACGCAGTTTGGGGGATTCTAGGCAGGGTACGGGAGGTAGAGTTGGTGGGAGTAGTGGTATACATTTGCGGCATCGTTTACGGGCGTTCGAGGCCGTTTCGGCGCATTTCGGGGCATAGACTTGAATTGAGTGAGCTGGGAAAGTGTGGGGTTGATAGGGCAGGCGCTGGGGTTGTAGAAGCCGTAGTAGTCGCCGTTGGAGATGGTGGGAGAGGAGATGCAGCGCAGGCGGATGTACGCGTCTGGAAATGGCTGTGGACAGCGCTGATGGGCGTTGACGGGTGATTGGGGCGGGAATCGAGCCTGGAGTCGACCCTGGAGTCGAAGTCGGCGACGTTGACATTGGTAGTCGGTAGCTGGTAGTCGTTGAGTGCCGTAAAAGGCGGCGTGAGAGGGTGGCGCGTCCAATTGGGCGCAGGAGGCGGCGTGGGGTGTGAGTGAGTGAGATTGAAGGGAGAGTCGGAGGAGTTGAGTGAGAACGCGGCGACGCCGATTTGGTGAGTGGATACGGAAGGGCAGCGCGCAGGGACGCTAGGGAGGATGTATGCGTGTGTAAGCGATGACTGGAGGGGATACTGGACGCGGGAGCGCGTGTGATTGAGGAAGGGATGGCGGCTGAGGCGTGTAGAGAGAGAGGGATATGGATATGGGGAAGGTGGTCACACGGGGAGCTGTGTTGCGTGTTGAGCGATGGAGAGAGGAATGGGCGCAGACGGGTGCCAGTTGCTGCAACTGGACGCGAGGCGACGAGAGACTCAAGTGACGCTGGGGTGCAGGGCTTTGCCTCTTTGTACCGACCAGGCAAACCCGCACTGTCTGCATATGCGTTGACCCTTAGCATTCGTCGGCGGAAACGAAGGTGGCGGAGGGGCCGACGGTATGCCGTTTACGTCGCCCTGGCTTTGGGAGCCATTCGCTGCGAGGGGGTGAGTATTCAATTCTGTCGTCCCTGAAGAAGCTACGGACCTGTTAGATTGCCCGAACTTCCGCTGGCGCCGAACTAAGCAGCGGCAAGAGATAGTGGGAGTGGGCGTAATCGAGACCAAAGGCGCGTTCCGGGTTTGGGGTTCTCCGTCGTGGGTTGTATATCTGGAGATTCCAGTGTCTTGAATGGCGCGTACTGCCCTGGCGCGGCGCGTATATGTAGGGCGAGGGTCTGGGATGCGTTTGCGCCGTCTTGGGAGTTGGCTAGGCGTGAGGGCATGTTGGAGGGCAGTGGGGTGGGTTCAGGCCTTTTTCACGGCGTGCTTGGGTGCGATGGCGTGCTGGGGAGTTGGCAGTCGTTAGGATGTGTAGGTTAGAGTGAACGACCAAGGGTCGCTTCTGACTGATAAACTGCGTGAGTGAGCGTGAGTAGCGAGCCAATAGGGTGCTCACCGACGTGGTACCCGAGTATGGACGGTCGACGACGCATGTACGGTGCGAGATGCGGCGCTGGGCCAAAACGGGGGGGGGCGGCGACGGGAGGGCATTGGCCGTAGTTTGGGGACGTTGAGGCCCTGAGGACGGTTGGGGATGTGGTAGGCGTCGAAGGGGGGACTTGGCAGCGGAGGGCTAAGTCTGAGGCGGAGAGTGAGTGGGGGTGTGAGTTAGCAGAGCGGACTCAGCCGTCTCTAACCGTCGCCGTGCTTCTGCAAGCCGCTGTGTATTGCCGTGCCTCTCTGCCAGCAATCAGGACTGTGGAATGGATGGAGACGGAGAGGATACGGGAGATCTGTCTGGTAAGCGTGCAACTGACCATAAAGTGCAGGAAATAACGAAATGCTCCCACGCTTACCTAATGATCAAGAAACAGGCGCTGTCGGACTTGTACGACGACCAAGTCCACATCGGTGGACGCTGTGACTTATGCTGGAGTTCAACCTCCAGCACGATCAACAATCACTCGATAACCCGATCTAGCAACAAGAAGGAGGGCAACGAGGACCGTTCACCCTTCACGCATGGACATAGGGACGGACGCAAAGGACAAGGCAGAGAAACCAGTCTAGTCAGGTACGACTGGCGGCTACTTATTGGGTACATATGGACTTATGATTGAGCCAGATCCTGACCTACCCTCCATCAGCCATTCTACTCGCCCATCCACGCGCACGCCTCATACACTGTCCCATCGCGTCAAACTCCACCACCGCGCGTCTTTGACTTAGTCGTGCTACTCATCATCCACACGGCGTACGTCCTGGCTACCATATCGGACCACTGCAGCAACCGCGGCGGAAGGGAGTGAAGAGGAACTGATGTCGGCATAGGCGTCGACCAGCGCGAGGAACGACGAGGAAGGCGACGGAGGGGCGGCTAGGAAGGGCAGGGCGTTCAAACGACTAGGTAAGTAGCGGTCGTCGTTATCACAATGGAATCGCGCTCACCTGCGTGTATAGACCTCCGACATCGTGGTGCGCAAGGCCGCAACGGCGCGCCTCGATATGATCTCGCATCATGCCCCATCTCGGCAATTCTGGGGAAGAGCCTGCTCCCGACGCAGCTCAATCCACAAACTGCCGCCGACGACAGCTTGAGGGCCACAGGAGGTCCCTCAACGTCCCTCAATCCAATGCGGCGACGAGAACAGCGGTTGCGAAGCATGGATATCGCAACGATGGTGCGATGGGCGTGCTAGAAGACCGCGGAGTAGCAGGCAAGATTCCAACGTAGTAGGCCTGGGGAGGGAGGGGAGACGGACGAGGTAAGCAGGCGACTTGTTGCGGCCTTTCCTCCGAACTTGACGTCTCTTGTTGAAGCGTCCCGACGCCTATATTAACGGGAACGACCGACTGCGCGCGCAGTAGTATCCATCAACTTGGAGAGGCGCGCGGGGTCAGGCAAGTCTCAGGCGTTGGCAAGGCCTCGACCAAGAAGCCAAAGGAGTGCGAGCGCGCGTGCTGCGGAGCGTGGGTGCTTGAAAGAGGCGACGGGTGCACAGAGGGGAGGGGGGGGGTTGAGACGAGGTCAGCTACCCGTCTGCCATAACGACTCACTCACCCACCTGCCCTTTGCACCACCATAATGTCTACAGCGAAATAGAGTCCGCGCTGCGCCGTCCCTGCTCTCAGGCTGCACCCTCACATTCCGCTTCAATCAAGCGGCGTGTTGGCGTTCGTGTTCCCCTCCCCCTCCCTGTTCATTTTCTCTTCGCGTGCCGTCCGCGAGACTTGCACGTTTTCTGTCGTTTCGGGCGCACCCGAATGGGCGTCGAGCACTTCGCATATCGCGTGTTGCGTGTTGCGTGTTCGGCCATTTCACTGGGTGTGGGTGGCTCGCGGGTCCAACGAGTCGAGCGGCGTAAACGTGCAAGATGGGGATAATAACAAACGCGTTCCTTTTCGCTGTGGTATGGCTGACGTGGCGCGACGCGCGGATGCAGAGAGTGGAAAGGATGCTAGGCGACGTGTGTAAGGTGGATTGGGCGTACAAACGGACTCTGGGCGTTGTAGATAACACAGTAAACAGCATCTTGTAAGGTTCTGTAGGGCATAGTAATCGACCTGAGTGGATGAGCGTGTAAGTAAGAAAGTAGAAAAAGAAAATAGTGTATACGCACCCGATGGATTGACGGTGATTGGCGGATAGGCATTGGTTGGCGTTAAGATCGCAAGGGTAGTGAATAGATTCGAAATCAGCAACCGTGTACATGTCTGCGGAATCAAAACGGAAGCAAGATGTGGCTAAGTAGGGCATAGCTAATATATTTCCCTATGAAACGAAAGATGGATAATGATTGCGGCTAAGTGCGAGAGGACTTACCCAACAAGATCCGTAACCTGCGCGGTCATGGGCACACCGTTTGCCCAGACGTTGATCCCCGTTGCGACGAAATCCTTCGTTAGGCGCAAGTGCATCGTCGCGACCGGTTGCCCGTTGGTATAGCCGCGTATCGTGGCGTGTTGTCGTAGATCCGCGGAATTGCGATGTCTGCTGTGACTACAAGAGGTCAGCGTAGCAAAACACGTGTAATAGAGCTTACACTATGATCCAGCGTTCGACATCGCTCGCATCGTACCCCAGCGCGTCGTCGATCCGTGTTTTCCAAACGATCAGCGCTCGTTGTGCGGCTGCCTCCAAGGCTGTTCGTTTGCCGCGGCTCTTGGGGCTCGATAATAGGCTGGCTAGTATGTATACGAAGGTCATACTGCATTGATCAGTAGCGAGAGGAGGAGGAGCGAGGGGAGTTCGCACTTTGTCGATGTCGTTGGTGGTGATTGAAGGACGGAAGCGTCGAGCGGCTTGGAGCGGGCCGGGGCGGGTATAAGGTGCGGTCGATCATAATCGAAAGATCTTGATCGACGTCGACGCGGAGTTAAGAATTTCGATCATGATCGAAGAAGTATGATGTCAATGCGGACATAAGAGGTCGATCTTGATCGGAAGAAGTATCGACGTCGACGCGGCGTTAAGCGGAACACGGATGCCTGCCATTTGGCGCATCGCTCGAACGAACCCGTTATCGTGCGTGTGCGCCGTCTCAACGAGCGCGCTTATACGACTGTTCAAGGCGTCACGTCGTACGCCGAAATTGGTCACGATCCCGCCTAATGTTCTACCATCGCCGAAGTCGATGCGCTATTCGTCAATCCCTCGCGCGCAGGGCTAGTTAGCACTCACGACGAGGCGATTCACAAGGGCGTCGAAGTTATAGGCTGGTACGAGATCCTTTGGTCAGTGGCAAACGTTCTGAACGATTCGGTTGAGATTGACGGGGAGGTAGTAGGCCGATCCAGCGACTGCTCGAGGGGAAAAAAGTGCGTGCAAGAGCTTCGAGCTTCCTGTCTTCGCGGAGGTGGAGCGAACTCTTCGTCAAGCGTCGCCTGCAGATATGAAGAAGGGTACTTAACTGTAGGACGCGTAGCGTAAGACATCCAGCGGGATCAACGACGTGGACACCCACGTACGGAGATACCCTGCTTTGGCAACCTCGTTCGACGGATGACCCACAGACGGCGCAATGGTTGACGAGCTACGATGATCGTGTGAGCGTTTTGGCAATGGACGTAACATGAATGTAGACAAAGGGTTATAGGTATACGTTACGGGGATTTGTGATTACGAGAGGCGAGATTGTATGAACCGGGTTTCGTCTAAAATAGGTGATTGCGTATGAGTGTATACTGCGAGTAAGGTATATCATTTGCTGCAATGATGAACATAGTGTCTACTGGGAATATGCGGCCACAGTTCTATGGTACCTGGCGAGGGCTTGAGTCAAGTCTGCACAAAACACTACCATAGCCGGATTCTCTATCTCACTCCACGTCTTGCCAGATGTAACCTTGTTAGTAGCGTCGGCGAGGTTGATCGCTTTCTGGATCTTATTGAGACAGGCCTGGATGTTTTTGACATGGGCCGAATTCTTGGCGGAATAAGGTGGGTATTCGTCGTATAGGCCAACGGCCTTGCCGCTGAGGGGATCGATATCGACAAAAGTCCAGAAGGGGTTGGGAACAGCCATAGAGGCATGTCTTTGGAGTATGGCATCGTATATTCGAATGGCAACAGCGGCGTCGGCAGCAGCGTCTGTCGTAGAGTGAGTGTGAAAACATATAGTGACTGCACGTTCACACCACTTACAGGTGTAATGATGCGTTTGGAGGTCTTGGGACCAATCAAACTTTTGTAAGGTCTTGTCGAGGGTCCTGCCTATCCACTGCTCACTCAGACTGGCGAGGGCGACGGAAGATGCAAAGTGGAGTCCGAGGTGAGCGCCCAAATGGTCGATAGTGCGATGTAGGCGACTGAGGTCGCCGCCCGAGCGCATAGATGCTTGAGGCAACGTTTTGGCATCACCTGGATATGGATGTTAGACACAGGTGAGCTAGATAGTGATGGTGGTTTACCAAGGATGTCGACACCTATCTTCGTATACTTGGCATTGGCGACGAAGTCCAATAGAGAGGTGGGAAAAGCTACAAAGGTGTAGATGAGGCGGTTACGAGCGCATATATGTACTTACTGCCAATGAGAGTGATATCAAAAACATATGCCTGCGTACGCGTGGCAATTTGAATGAGTCGTACGGCCCTGGTTGGCGTGAGTTCTACATCAAATCCGAATATAGTGTCCGTAGCAACAGTGCTAGTGGTTATGGCTTGCATGAAGCTATCAGCTTCGGCGATGGTGGAAGCGACGACGAAGGTGAAGTCAGCCGATGTAAAGGGAGGGAACTTTTGGGAGGACATGATGGCGGTATGGAAGAGAAGGACGGGGGACGGCGCAGGAAATGATGGGCGTGGATATGTAGGCGCGCACAGACCACCGACGATCTACGACCGTGGGTGATGACAGCCAGGCGATGGTCTACGACCATGGCATATGGACAGCGCGAGCAAGTGTGCTTTGTCTAGATAAGGATAGACCGAGGTGCCAATCGGAATCTAAATTGGGACTGATGACGTCAGTGAGAAGCATATGTTCGATCAGGGTCGAGGTGGTGGGGAGTTGGGGAAGATGCTTCGCGTGGGCCGAAAAGTCCGAGGATGGTGTCGTCGTCAAAGTCGGTGCTTACCCAGAATGCCAAATGCCCCGCGGGATTGCTATCGCATGCCTTGCGCGCCTTATTTCTCAACCATCATCTGCAGCACCGGAATGTCTTGGCCGTCTCATACCCCCATGTCCTCACCGTCTCGTTCAACGTTGCGTGCACCGCTGTCTTCCGTGTCTAACCCTGGGCGTAGTTCCCCCGAGGGAAGCACCGATCGGACGTCGCTGGGGAAGAGACAAAGGTCGATTTCTTGGGACGCAACGCAGAGTTTCAGTGGCGATTCAGGGAGAGCTATATTAGCAGGAGTTTTGCGAAGCTGGGATGAGGCGAAACAATCATGTAAGTTAATCCTGGAGTACAGCGACATTACTGGCGAGGAAGAAGAGGAAGCATATATGCTGTTTCTAGAAGAGAGGGAGGCAATGGCACGGGAGATGTTGGCCAAAGTGGCTTGCGCGAAGTTGAAGTGGGGCGCAGTAGTTGATGGGATGACTTTAGAGGGTGCGTTGATACGAGTATATGCGCATATATGTATTAACGACGCGCCAAAGTCATGGAGGCGTACGTTGCCGATAATATGGATGAGTTCTCCGAAGAAGATTTAGAAAACACGAGCCTGTCGGCGAGGAAACGAAAGCAGAAAGAACTAGGTGTTGGTGGTGGAACGGGACAAGCGAACGACGCAGGGGATGGAGCAGGCGCAGGCAATGAACCAGGCGCAGGGGATGGAGCAGGCGCAGGCGATGGAGCAGGCGCAGGCGATGGAGCAGGCGCAGGGGATGAAGCAGGCGCAGGGGATGAAGCAGGCGGCGGCGGCGGCAACGGCGAGGGGAATGACGAGAGGCCACCAAGGAAACGGCGTAAAGCCAAAGTGCCCATTATCGAGGAGTTGTCCCATACGTTGAGCGAACAGATAGACAACGTGAACATGGCGGGGTATGAGGTGGTTGATGTAAGTTTGCTCGGCATGTTCAAAGACGATTGCTTACCTTGGAAAGGATCGATTCTGTTGCGTGTACACGCACGTTGGTGCTGTCCACGGCAAGCTAACGGAAAGGGATTTGTTGGAGGCACTCCAAGGGTATTGCGACAAGCCGAAGCATAAAAGCTTTTTGGAGGAGGAAGCTCTGGCGAGGCTTATCGTCGGGTACGGAGAAATCAACATGGAACGGCTAGTAAGTGCGTTTTGGGAGGGAGAGAGATGTGTATACTAATCTGGGATAGAATGAAGCATTCGGCAAGATGAAGTCATCATATGCGTGCGGGCCTAAGGAAGCGAAGAAGCGTTTGATCGCTCTTTGTGATATAAAGTCTGAAAAAGAGAGGGTATGGGAATCGGAGAAGGTGCGCGCTGTGGTTTTGGGTCGATGCGAATGAGGTTAACGATGATTTGATTAGTTCTTAATCGAGTGGTCTATGATGCAGGGAAGCGTGAACTTACTGGAAGGGATCTTTCTGACGATGGCTGGACTTCGCCTGGCCATTGACAGGAACAATATGCCTGATACAGATGTCGGGAGGAGATGGAAAAAGGAACAGAGCGACGTTATGTTCGAGCTGCAATATGGTTATGCGCTTTCTCATGTCCCAGTGTTTGAACGTAAGGGGAAGGAGCATGCCTGGAGGAAGAGGTGGACCAAGGCCCACCAGAAGATGGTAACGAGGGGAAATAAAGTCCTTGCGTTGTTCAAAGAGGTGAGTGGTTGAGAATGATTATGTGACCCACGGCTGAGGGGCGACAAGTTCGGGTGCATCGTGCTCTTGGATCCTCTGTGGAGTCCAACAGAGACGTCGTCCCCTGATTTTCATCAGTTGCATGCCTGCGTTTTAGGTAATGTATTGAAACGACGACGAAGAGCTGACGACGACGCGGAAGGCGATGGGGACGTGCCGTGGCACACGGGTAACGACGTGGGGAACAGAAGGATGCTGGTGGAGGTAGTTCGATACTTCACGACAGATGCGATGGCACGGTTCATAGACGAGACGGTGGACAAATTGGAGGAGGATGCGTCAGAGATTGCAGTGTAGCGTACGGGAGTACAAGTAATTACGACGGTCTACGGCCAGTCCTTAGCATGATACAGCTGTTCAAAGGCAATACATAATTCTACGAGATTTGCAGAGTTCTGGACAGTCGGGTGGGGCTTAACAAGCCACTGCAAATATGTTTCGAGGGATTGGAAGATGGGAGTTGTAATGCCGGCGGTGTGCAATAGCTTGTCTTGTAACCCATGGGCTACGGACGGTGACAGCACAATGGGAAGGCAGAATAATGCCCATGCGATGGGGCTGAGGACGTCTTTCTGCATTTTGCAAATGTCATCGTCTTTGGTGTGCGTTTTGTACGAGAAAGGAAAATAACAGATCCAGCATACGCGGCAGGTCTTGTCGAAATTCCTGAGTGCCATCTTGTAAACGTCCCCGTAGAGTGTCGGCAACGGTTCGCCGTCCAGCATGTATTGACATCTGTATCCGTATATACCTACGGGGCATCGGAAGCCGTCTTCGGTACCACAGGGAGTTCGGCCGAAAACTTGACACGTTAGACACCTGTCTCGCATGTCGACAAGGCGCTTGAATGACTGCGAGCGGACCTGTGCCAAATCACGTTTGGCAACACCTTCCTGTTTGTTCAATGCTAGGGCTTCATGGTGGGAGTGCGGTCGAGGTGTTGAAGGGAGCGGCGGAGACACGGAGCGAGCAACATGCTTGTCAAAGAACGTTGGCGTGGAGAGATGATTGTGATAGTGATCTCCAATGTCATGATAGGCCTGAGCATTGTTAGCGCAAAGAAAAGTACAGATTTGACGGTGCACTTACATGGACGGCAGGTCGTGTGGACTTGTCAAAAATCATCGAGTTGGAACCCGTGACCGGATCACTTGACTCGCTCGTGATCTGACCCCGTGACTCGCTCGTGATCTGACCCCCTGACTCGCTCGTGATCTGACCCCCTGACTCGCTCGTGATCTGACCCCCTGATTCACACGTGACTTGTTCGCGTGACAAACGCGTGTCGCGTAGCGGATATGTATAACGAGGGGGGACGGGTGGAAGGTTCTAATGAGGCGAGGTCTTAAATAAGTTAATGCTAGTGAGCTGGATAGGGCTTACCTCAAGAGTGTCGCAATAGTCGCATGGGGTGCAACCTGGCACTGAGTGGCACGAATGGGACTCGTCGTCGAAACTACCGAGAGAAAGCCTTCTGCAAGTATTCGTCGTGAACAATTGGTAGAGTTGGTGTTTCCCGGCATGATCGACCCCTGTGATGGCGGGTGCTTTGCGATACCTGCTAGTTTGTCCTATGATCCTCGCGAATGTAACTTCTCCCGTTCTACCTAAGCGGCCAGTTTGTTGAGTGACGCTGATCATGTCGTAGGGATTGAGGACGAAGACGTGGTTGACGTAAGGGTAGTTGATACCAGTGCCAAAGCCCGTGGTCGCGACGAGGCCTTGTGTGACCCCCGTTAGCCAATCTTGTTCAACTCGGTGTCTGGTGTCAGCATCGGCTGCCGGATCATTTGTATATTTCGCCTTGTGTACCGGTAGGCGCAAGGCGGCGGCGACGCGATCGCACTCGTTATATGAGCGGCAGTAGATGAGTAGACGATCACGAGGGGTAGCGTGCTGAACAGCCTCGCGGTATGCTTGTGTAAGATGTTCAAGGATCAGCCGCTCATCAGAATATGTATCCACTTGGTAACGTATGTTGGGTCGTATCGTGGGCGCAGCGATAACCTCCAAGTTTTCAATGTTGAACGCCTTTGCGAGCTCAGGAATACTCGATCGATAAATGGTGGCGGTGAGGAAAACAATGGTGACGCCAAGATCCATGAGCGATTGGACCTTGGAGTAGCAATCACGATAATTACTGGAGACGAGGATTTCGTGCGCTTCATCAAAAATGATTCGCTTGATGAGACCGAGTTTGGATGCGGCTGTGAGCCAGTCGTCCAGTTGTCCATGGATGAGATGCTCCGCGTTGACGACGAGTAGCCGTGCGGATGAGCAGTCGATGGTGGATGATGGCCATTGAACTACATCAATGCCATACCGCTTGGCTTCTCGGTATTGCTGATTCGCTAGGGCAACGAAGGGGCTAACTACGATGGTTATACCCTCCGATTCCATCAGCGGGGGGCCATAGAACATCAAGCTTTTTCCACCGCCAGTCGGCAGAATGCCCAAGACGTGGCGGGTGTTCTGCATGACAAGTTCAAAGAGTTCACCTTGTTGGGGACTAGTAAAACGAGGCTCCGAGGTTCCGTAGAGGCGTTCCAAAGCCACTTTGCGCGACGGATGGACGATGACGCGAAAGGGTGGGGAGACGGGGAGAGAACGGAGTGTAGGCGGACGAGGTTGAATGGCGTGCATTGCCATGTAAGTGTGAACGGCATCGGAGACGGTGGCTTGGAGGGCGTCACCAAGCATAGGAATGGTGGCATGGAGGGATTGGACGAATGCAGCGGTATCAATTTTGCCTGCGGGAGCCTGAGTTAGAGCTTTGGCTGGCTCTGCGTGGCCAATGCGAAGGTTGGCGGGAAGGTGCTCGTAACCAATCCCGAGCCATTCGTGGTAGGCTAGCGAGAATATCTGTGCTTTGGTGACGTCTTTCGCATCAATGTGAGAGAACGTGTCTTCCTCAACTGCGTAATATGTTTGCGAGACTTTGGAGGAATGTCCCCAGAGTCCATCGAGGATTCGATACAATGACGGACTGTCCCCCGGGTCCTCTTGCAGCGCCAAACCAACGGCGTGTTTCAACACGAATTTCATCAGATGTCGGCAGTCGCGAACGCCCAGGGGAAATATAAAGGTTTCTTGAGTGAATCGTCGCAAAATATCAGTCATCCGCTCGGTGTTGAGCGGTCGAGCTCGATGGACAAAGATGCAGCTGCTGTAGAGGACGGCATGGGCTTTGGTGGACTGAATGTTGGCGATGTACTGGGTGCAGGGGTAGATGACGGCGAGGAGGATGATAAAGAGGCGTGCCAAGCGGGGTGGGACAGCGCGAGGAATCATCGACGGACGGCCGGTATTGTGCTGGGTTTTGTTATAGAAAGTCACAAAGGTGAGAACGCCGTTGGTGAAGTACAAATTGCGAGGGGCATGGCCGTTTTTATAACGTATGTCCTCTATTTCCGTCCCCCTCGCTGCTCCTGCCCAAGTGAAGTTCAACGAGGCGTACAGGTGTTCGACGAGGTCATCGACGTCGTCGATGAAGGACAACAGGGCGTTGGGCTTGAATTGGATGCCGTCAGGAGTATGGACGGCATAGACAGTGCTGTCGTTGCGGCATATGTGGTCCATTAGCGAGTCCTGATAGCGCGAGAACCCGTTTCTTTCATCGGTGAGGAAGGAATATCCGTGTTCTTCGTCTCGTAGTGTGTCTTTGAACCATCCGTCGCTGTTGTCAAGTGACAATGCAGTGTGGATGCGTGCATCAAGGTCCGTAATATCGAGTCCGTCGAGAAGGGATAGCAGCAGCGACTCGGATGAAGAGACCAGGCCTACTGCGAAATCTTTGAAAGAGGACATAGTGAACGGATGAGATTTAAAGGAGAAAGTCTCCATGTCTGCCCCCATCAGGAAGAGAGGGAGGCTGGGCTCTTGCATCGAGATCGCGGTGATGGGATGGATGTGGCATCGAAGGACAGCAAAGGGGGAGTGGCCGCCCTCCGTCAGATATTTGGAGATGTCCTCGTATACACTGTTCCATTGCGTTAGTATGGGGTTCAGAAGAAGGCCAAGGACTTACCCCATCTCGCTGTTGTCCTTTGAGGATGCAAGCTTTTTGCATTGGTACAGCCCCATAGCACGCCAGCACCATTGAATGGCGATCATGTTGTGGCAGATGTGGGTTGCCATTTTGAATCTAGCGGACAGGTCGTCTAGCAAGTGGTAGGCGATCAAGAAACGTGTCAAAGGAATGTCGAGTTCGTTAAATTCATTCGAGACCGGGATGGATGTGAGCATGGACCAACAGACTTGATGTACTAGGTCCCAAAAGGAAGGAGGTGCGTGGACCAGGTCCTCCGGGATATTCGAATTCAGGAATTGCCTTATTAGGTATAGCTGCGAGTCCGTGGTAGTAACGGGGAAGCCGGGGATGGCCTTGTCGGCGGCACGAACGACGAAAGTCATCATGCAGGAAAAGATATGCGCATAGTCGCGGACGGTCTTCTGATTCTGCGGTAGTCGAAAGGGATATCGTTCACAATTGCCTCTGAATGATGTCCGTTTAATATAGTACAAACGAAGTGACTATTTATGCTTACTTGTCTGGAGAGTTAATGAGACGGAGTAGCATAGTATTGCTCCTCTTCTCAAGGACTGGTGCCACGATGTGGACTATGTAGTACTTGAATGCGTCAAAGATTCGATGGAAGTTTGAGGGAGCAAGTTCTGGTGCCGGTGGACGAGAATAAGTGTGGGCAAAGCCAAGGTGCGCTCCCGGGAGAGTGAGATGCCATTTGGTGACATTTTCTAACGGTGAGAGTTGGGTGTGGGTGATTAGACGATGATCTTCCAGCGTGAGGGCGCCTTGATCTTGCAGTTGCTTCTTCAGATCGCGCCAAGAACTCTTGGGGGGTAAAAAGTCGTCGGGAGGTGCGGTGGAATTGATTGCGACATATTTAGTGAAGTTGCAAGGGTTGTATATTCGTTGACATTTAGTTTCGACAAATATTGGCGTCTGTTGAGGATGCATTGCTTGCTGGTGCATATTTTTGGTGGTTTTAGATCCAAATACGTGACCAAAGCAGGGACCAGGGGTAGCACATCGCCAACCTTGTTGAACGGGGAGTATAGGAATGGGGCGGTCGAAGCCTCCTTCGGGAAGGAGGGGTGAAAGATTGGTTCCGAGTTCCTGCAATGCCGAGGCCAAGCGGTCTATGTCGAATCTGATACGTTGAGGGCAAGACTCGTTGATATGTGTGGCCAGATGTTGGGCTGGTACCGCCGAGCTACATTCGAGGCACAATAACAGCCGGGTGGGCGAATGGAAATAGATCCCGGCGTCTTTCAACGTAAATGTTTTGGCGGTTTCTCGCCGACGGGGCTTGCGGGTGGAATGGGGAAGCTGCTGGGTACTTGGGGGGAGCTGCGTGACCTTTATAATAGGCAAATCGGAAGTGGGGGTTTCAGGGACAAGTGTAAAGTCAGACGGCGGTTCAGAAATGGCATAGGGCACAGACGATGGGGGGGAGATGATAGGTAGTGATGCGGGGGACGTTGGATGGATGCGAATTCGTTTCGGCGTTACAGCTTGGTCTTCAACGAGGTCAATTGATCGCTTCGAGGACGAAGGGGAACTAGAGGGCATAACGAGGGATGGCGAGTGGGGACGGTCCGTAGAGTGGCTGCCTGCGTGATGGTTCGAGATATGATCTCGTATGTCGATCTCTCGATTGTGCTTCTCTGGGCAGAACGGGCATGGATACGAGTAACTGGCCGTTCGCTTGATAACGAAACAAGTGGTTTCTTAAACGAAGATTAGATAAGATAAGGATCGTATTTGTTTGTTTATATTTACCATTCGGTTTTATTGAGACTTCAGCAGGGTGGACGCGTGGTGTGTGGCTTGAATTAGCCTCATCGCCGCAGTGAGGACAAGGAGGCATGGCGATATTGAATAGTGAAAATAGTAACAAAATGATATCCAGGGAAGGCCGTCCGGGTCAATAAAGTATATGCGATGCGAGGGTGACTAGAGATCAATGCAAACGGGAAAGGGAATGATATCTAGGAAATGCGGTTGCGATGGGAGAATGGATTGCGATGGGAGAATGGATTGCGATGGGAGAACGGATTGAGCAGAAGGCGTAACGATAACGGTTGAAAATACAGGGTGCTACACTAAAATTGATCCTGATAATGCTGATGGTATGTAGAATTAACCGCCCGAAAGTCTACGACTCTGGGGCGTGCGTGAGTCAATCTACGATTGAGTCGACGCAAAGGTGAAAGAAATGCAAGGATAATGGACAAGAAGTGATGGCGTAGAAATTTGGCAAGGCGGGCGACGAGGGTGCTGGAGGGGGCGAAAGGTTAGCAGGAGATTGGCTAGCTCTAGTGCCACATACCTAGCTTTATGAGCATAGCCCAACGAGACATTGAATGAAACGAAAAAGAAGGTGTCACTTTGCGACGTGTGATTATTGTGATATTGTGAACAAGGATTGACATACTCACATGAGGGATGACCTTCTGCGCAGATCGGTCTGGCTGTTCAGTGATGAATGTGGAAAGGACATTCTCTAGCTACTTTATTAGTATAGATGGAGAAGACGGAAGGACAAGGGCGCACCTCATTTGCCAATCTCCGAGTCTTCTGCCCATCGCCGACCATCGCCGACCATCGAGTGCACCCCAGCGGTTGAAAAGATAAGGGACATGTCATGTAAATGATCTACGCTGAGATCAGTAAGTGGTCGGATGATCTGCGGCATTGGAGGGACTGGGCCTTACAGTCATTGTTGGCACACTTTGGCCGACCTCCCGACATATCGGGGTCCTCCCAGGAAGGAATAAGAGCGAAAAACAGAAGCGAGGTGGTCTACGACCATGTCGCTGGGTTATCCAACAATCGAGGGGCCTCTACAAGGCTGCTCGACGTTGTCCACCATGTGAGCCTTCGCGTCCATCGTCGTCGTCCATCGCCGTCCATCGTCGTCCATCGCCGTCCATCGAGGGGTCCCAGAGCGTGAGTGTAGTGTGTCGAGTGCAGCGAGATGGTCTACGACCATGTCGCTGTTTTATCCAACGATCGGGGGGCCTCTACGAGGCAGCTCGACGTGGGTAACAGTGAAGAAAAGTAGGAACCGGTCGGACTTGAATTTGTCTATTGTCCATGTGCGTCCAGTCCAAACAAACCATGTTTGGAGTAGATCTTATCAATTATCTTATCTTATCTGTGAGCGAGGGCGCTTATCTGTCTATCTTATCACTCCATGGCTTCGTGCAAGATGGAAAGTGCGATTGTGTTACATACGACTTGTGTAGCTATCGAAATCGAGTATGCCAAAAAAGGGGAGCAAGGGGATTGACAAGAAAATAGGAATAGCGTTCACGGCATGATGTAAATGGATGGGTCAATCTTGGTGCGATGGGGAACAGACGGCGCACGGGCAAAGTGGTGGAAGAAGCTCCTGCAATAGTAGGATGCGCATGTCTTCTCAAGCTCCACATAGTCAACGTCAGACTCTTCCTGTCGCAGAGCGTCCACGATCCCGCCCGGGCAATCCCGCCAGTCGACCATTACGCGTGAGATTGCGAGAACATATTTGCGTCTCTCGAGGTCGTTTGGATTGGAAAGGCCACTCCAGGCGGTGAGGTACGTGACGTTCATGTGGTCACCTCCTCCTTCGCCTTCGAAACTCTGTGATGGGAAGCATTGATTGAGAAGATCGTCATGTGCTATGTGGTCGACCTCCCCAGCGAGCATCTGGCCGTCAAGCATACGAAGCTCCCAGCGAAAGTTGGTCTCGATTACTTCGTACATGATGCGTTCAGTGATACGATCGTGGGGCCATCTGTCAGATGGGATGACCTCACTGCGCCAGTTGAGATCTTCGTTGCGGTTCTGGTGGTCTTTGTCGTATTCTGCAGTCCATTTGGCGAGGAGACCTTGCATACATTGGCGACGAAGATAGTTGTTGTCGAGTTTCATTTTCTTCGGAGCAGGCTGGCTCGAGTGGGTATCTCGCGAGGAAGGGCCGGCAACAGGAGTAGCATGCGGTTGCGATCTCTCAGGCCCGAGTAATAGATCCCAGCGTTTGCGCGAGATGAGGGTTGGCGACAGTCGAGGCGACATGCGAAGTAACAGTACGTCGAGGTGGGTGATGTACGCGTGGAGGATTTTGAGTTGCCGTGGTTTGAGGTCGGTGTCCGAGTTCAGTGGCACAAACGTCGTGGGGGGTGGGAATATGAACCCGTTTGCTCCTTCTTTGTATTGCGGGGAGATGTATTTCTTGGTCACCGCGACGGTGGAAAGGCCGTGTACCCATGACTCCATCATGATCGGCATGAATCGATGGAGATTGGGCCGAAAGTGTAACACGTCCGTAGGGCTGAGCTGGATCCGGGGCTTGGGATCTGATTTTGTTGGCATAAGGGATGAGAAGTAGAAGATAAACTGAGGTTCGACTTACCATGTTGTGGCTCGTTGTGCGCTCTTGGCGCGCGAGCAGGGCCTGCGGAATAGTCGTGGCCAAAACTGGGCACTGGAGGCGGCCTTTCGATGGTGTCGCGTACAACGGATGTTCGACCAAAGTCGGTGTAAGCGAGGAACTCACGGCCGAAAAGCATGAGATTGTTGTGACGTTGCGGGTCGGCCGCATCTTGGTTCCATACGTTGGTTTTGTGACCGCGCCAAGGTCGCAGTTCGATGTTCATGGCTTCGGCAGGAGTAGGGGTAATGACGGTGTCGATGCGCGTGTCTTCGTGGAACTCGCGGATAGGGCGAATAAGCCAGACAGGGATGCCAGCCTTGGCGAATTCTTCGACTATGACGACTTTGTTGGTCACGGCGCCCACAAAGTTGGCCGTGGGCGACAGTATCCGCCCATATTCGTCCGAGTTCATGAGTGGTTGTCGGACCTGCATGTACTCCAGGTACGCTTCCAATTCGAGGAAGTGTCTCTGGGCTTGAGTAAATGAGAACAAAATGTCAGGCCAGGACGCCTTGGTGCTCTCCAAGCGTCCAATCCAAATTTTCAGTTGCGTGGCGTGTCCATGGAATCGGCGGTTCTGCAAAAGGTCGGGCCTCGATTCAATAAAGGCGTAATATCGTTTCACAAGAAGCACAGAGGGCTCGCGGATGCGGGAGACGAGTCGTTGATCCAGCAGTCCAATACGGGATTGGTGGGATGAGCGGAAGTGGTCTTCATAGACGGGGTTCATGAACATAACATCGTTTGTGTCTTCCCGGCGCGTTGGTGGTCTACGGATGCATGCAAGGTGACTGTGTTCTCGGACGTACTGCTGAGGGAGCTGAAATGGGTCCTCGGCACCGAATCTTCCATCCTGCCTGAGTCGGACTGTGGTCGTGAGCCCAAGTACCGGCTCGTAGACATTGTCACCGTTTGGCGTGGTGATGAACGCCTTGCCTTCAAATAGGATGGCCCCCATGGTGCCGTCAAGATATGTGCGACATATCGAAGGCTTGTCGCGATTGCGACTGAGCAAGTCCGGATTCTTGTTGGCTTGTTCAGCCGTGAGAGACATTGAGTATATCTATAAAAGCTAAACATTGAGCATTTGCAGCGATTACTTGAGAGAAGAAGCGAGAAAAGTCTAAAAAGAGGTGGTTCTTGGGTGATGGGTTTGGAACTGGAAAACGACATCGGCGACGATCGAAATAGAAAGAGTAATCGACGCGCCGTCAATCTACGATTGTGGGCAAGCGAGACCTATCGCGGCAGTCTACGACTGTGGCGCATAGGTGGAAACGAAGGTAAAGGGGGGAGAGTAGGGGCCGACAAGGGTTGTATATGGGTGGTATGTCGCACGCCGACAATCTACGATTGTGGGCAAGTGCAGCCTATGGCGGCAGTCTACGACTGAGGCGCATAGGCGAAAAGGAAGAGGGATGGAGGAAGGTGGGGGCCAACGAAGGGGAGCACTTACGTTTCGGACTTGGTGTTGTTGATGAAGCAGCAATAAGCGCCGGGTGCAAGTGTTAAAGTTGAGCCGTCCGATTGAACTCCGATCAGTCTCCGATCAAATGGCAGAATAAGGTAGGGCGCCTATTTTCGATTCGTCGTCCTCTATTGTCCTCCGTCCCTCATCACCTCCGACGCGCCTTTTCGATAAGGGTACACCCTCGCTCGTAGAGCGACGGTGAAGCCTAGGGTAGCCCATGATCGTAGATCAGCAGCACCTGCATCGATTGGCATCAACATCAACGAACAACTATGACCTCGTGGACTGGCCGACCTTCACACCGCTTCGCTTCGATAAGGGAACACCCTCGCTCGTAGAGCGACGGTGTATCCTAGGGTGGCCCATGATCGTAGATCAGCGGCACCTGCATCGATTGTCGTCAAGGTTGCCTACGAACAACCCGCCTCCCGTGCGTCGGCCACGCTACATACCGTCGAGGGTAATGGTAGTTAGTAAGGATTCGTGTTGGCCGCTAGGAGAACTAGGCCAGAGTGGATGGGGGGAAAAGGATATAGGGAAGTTTGGCAGGAGCTGTAAATGAATGCGCGAGGTACGTTGAGTTTCGTCAGCTTTCCTGCCCTTACAAGTTTTTTTCTCAGACCGTCGGGCACGACGCGCATTGAGCGTACGGCACGGGACATGGATTATTTATGGATGCACTAGGTAAGGGGTGTCCCTTCGTCATGTTTGAAGGCCTCGTGGGCTTATTGCATAGGCTGTCATCGGCTTTTCTTCACAGTTTTCCTGCGGAGGCGTGGTTAAGTCTTTCGCGTAGAACGGTGATGGTCTGTCCAGTATTTCACGCATGTATTCCGTTGACCGAACGTTTTTTTCATGGTTTGTCGTTGGTGCGTCTTGCTTTGTTGTCAAACCACTCCCTCGTCGGGGGAGCCCCTGTGTCACATGCTCGTCGTGCCCTTGTCCGCGATGCCCGTAACCACTCCCTCGTCGGGGGAGCCCCTGTATCACATGGTCATCTATCTCCCTTGTCCGCGATGCCCGTAACCACTCCCTCGTCGGGGGAGCCCCTGTATCACATGGTCGTCGTGCCCTTGTCCGCAATGCCCGCAACCACTCCCTCGTCGGGGGAGCCCCTGTGTCACATGGTCGTCTATCTCCGTTGTCCGCGATGCCCGTAACCACTCCCTCGTCGGGGGAGCCCCTGTGTCACATGGTCGTCTATCTCCGTTGTCCGCGATGCCCGTAACCACTCCCTCGTCGGGGGAGCCCCTGTATCACATGGTCGTCGTGCCCTTGTCCGCGATGCCCGTAACCACTCCCTCGTCGGGGGAGCCCCTGTATCACATGGTCATCTATCTCCCTTGTCCGCGATGCCCGTAACCACTCCCTCGTCGGGGGAGCCCCTGTATCACATGGTCGTCGTGCCCTTGTCCGCGATGCCCGTAACCACTCCCTCGTCGGGGGAGCCCCTGTATCACATGGCCGTCTTGCTCCCTTGTCCGCGATGCCCGTAACCGCCTCCTTGTTCGCCCGGGCCTATCTACCCTGTTGTGCTTTTGCCCCCTCCGTTCGCCGTGATCACCGCTCATTGTGGACCAGTGTCTACCCGCCCTAGCGCATTCGCCGTGGTCCCTTGACCTTTGGGCCACCGTCTCGAGCGTCTCGCATCCGCCTTTCGCCTCCGGCCTTTGATGCGCCCGGCCACCTGCTCATTCAAGTCTCTGCGCAGTAAGCGAGCTCTAACGCTTGTAACTTGTGGAAGGCAATGGTAAGTCTGGATATTCCAGCACTCACCTAACCTAACCTACCGAGACAGTCGCTCGTAAACGAGCTCCAGATAATATACCGAAACCCGAAACCTCAACTCCCTAACATCCTAATGCCCTACGGCCCTAATACGTTGGCTTGGGGGTCGTGATGGGTCCGGGTTAGAGCTCGTAAACGAGCTCTAACCCTTGTAACTGGTACGCAATGTTAATTCCGACTACTCCTGCACTCACCTAACCTAACCAGCCGAGACAGTCGCTCGTAAACGAGCTCCAGATGCAATATACCGAAACCCGAAACCTCAACCCCCTAAGGTCCTAACGCCGTAAGGCCCTAATCCGTGGGCTTTCATTTGATGGTGAGTCCGCGTTAGAGCTCGTAAACGAGCTCTAACCCTTATTGTTTAAAGGCAGTCCTTAATCCGAAAGATCAATTACCTGGCTGTCAATATCACTTGTAACTGAGCTCTACTGGAAATATACGTGGATCCGAAGCTCCTGCCCCTTAAGTTCCTATCTCTGAAGGCTCTAATCCAAGTAAGTTGTTCGATTTCAAGAGAATAGGATAGGATTGCATGCATGAGAAGGCATGGAATTGCGTTAGAGCTCGCGTTCGCGAGCTCTAACGCTCTAATCCCAAGCCACATAGCTATCTAACTTGGTAGTTGAATGGTAAAATATACATATTTGTGTGATATATTACAGGGTTCTGGCCAATAAGTGATATGATGAGGTTGAAAGAAAGAGGTAGGGTGGTCCATAAGTACCAGTTTTGGGCCGACCTAACCCAGCACTAGGTCCGGAGTCAGTGGATAGGCTGATGGTCATGACAGTCATGACGGTCAACTTGACGGTCAACTTGACGGTCATGGAGAGTCACAACAGTCACTGGAGGAGTACTCACCAGTGTGCAGCGTGGTAGACACAGTCTGCGATGTCCTTCAGATGTCCCTAGCATGGCGTGGGTCATAACTGTCACTGACCGTCAATCAAGCGCTCATGACGGTCATGACGGTCAGACACAATTTGTATGCCTCATTGCTCACAAACGGGACCGCCGAACACCGTCAGACTTTGTAGAGTACATTATTAGTATGTATACATGGGATATATGCAACAAGATTTGAAGAATTCCATACTTGCAAATTAGGTTTAACCTAATAAAGTGGCGTAAGATTCTCGACGAAGAAGGGGGCATGGAGGGACAACGGGACAAGAAAAGGTGGACGCGACAAGGTGATTCTCCATCAGAACACCCTAACGGAGGTGTGTGAAGTTGTTGCGTCCACTTTGGAGGAGGTCGACCGATTACACCCTGTAATCCGTCAGATAATATAGATAGGGGATGGGTTTGTTTCGAATCGATGGAGGCGACATCACAGAGGCGACATAGCTAAACGTTCGAGACACATTCCGAAGCAGCCCCCCCGACGGTTCGTTCGAATGGCATTCACGGTAGTGCGCCCGGAACGTGGATTCAATCGACGACTTGAACTCGCAAGAACAAACGAAAAAACCGTCTTGGCGTTGGATAGTAGCGACAACGCCAGCTGTTCGTATATGAGTATCGTGAACAGACGAGAGTACATCCACTCACGTTTAATAGAGATACTTATATCATCTTCTTGGCTCTCTGTATGCGGACTCGACATCGTGAACAAGAGCTGCAGGACGTTCCTAGCAGGCCAAGTAGTCAGATACACGTCAGCTGCAGGAAGTTCCTCGCAGGTGAAACAATCAAGCGTGGTACGCGAACGTTGTGTCGGGAAACGAACGACGCGAGGAGAACGGAAGAGTGGGGAACGTCAAGGCGTCCACATAGACGTCCACTTTAAACATCGACAGGCCTTTCGGTTCCGCGCGACAGAGAAGCTCCCGTTGGTGATTGATGAATGGAAGCGTATACGATCGTCGTTGGAGTCCTTGCTTCTAAACTTAGACAGGACACGGATGGGAACCATCCGTGTCGATCAATCACAGAAAGACGCTAGTAGATCGACGGTACTTTCTGATACATGCGTACGCGTGGTGAATTGGTATGCTAAACGACGAGAATGAGCTCAGATCCTACTTAGGTTGGCGAGAGTGTATTTGGACCAGGGTGGAGATCCGTCGAAAACGGTTGCGTCGCGTACAGTCGGTACTAGACGGCATTCGGTGGTGGTTCTGCTGGAGTGAGAATATGATAACGATAAGGATTAACGCGTGCTTGTACATGTTGACATCGAAGGCGGTGGATTAAGCATGGGTACGTGAAGTCTTCTTGTTATGACGGACATTGAACTTGGTAGAGCTCTGGATGTCGATGTCAAGCATGTCTTCGCAGACTCCCATGACAACGATGTCGACGAACACTTCTGGAGGGACCGGCATCGATAACGCGGTCGAATCGGCGTGTAAACTGTTCCTGAACATGAGGAGGACGTTCGAAGTCGCGTCAGAATCCAATTTGAACAGCGGGGTACCCAGGGGTTATGAACGCGATGGGTTTGGCAGGCAGATCGACTTCATCGAGGCTATCGCGGATGCTACGCTGAAGATGATTCAGGACTTGCGGGCTACGCAGAGCGGCATACCCGTAGACGCCACCCAAGACCAGTTGTATGGTGAGTGTCTGTGATATATGCGCAATACTTAGGATTCTTACATGCTTACTATCAGACGATATATCTACGAAAGCGAAGACGAGGTTAGCGAGGCCCAGTCTGGTTTCTGCAAGTAGACAAAACGTACAACGCGAGCCTTACTCTAGGCATGGTATCGAATTGGATATCGACACAGAGTCATATGTCGCGCCTTCGAGGGGTTTGAAACGCAGACAGACCATAGGATGGATCCCGAACGGAGGTAAATCAAAGCGGGTTCGCAGTGAGATGCAGGGTATACGGGATAAGGGACGGCCTATGGGCGAGGACGACGTGGAGACGCGGTTGGCGGGCGATACAATCAACGATGATGAAGAGGATACGCGGCTTGGTGGCGAGACGAACAGCGGGGATGGGGTGGACACACAGGACGCCATCGAGAAGGGTAATGAGGGTTCAGTGGCGTCTGAGACCCTCAACGGTGAGGGTATTAACGAGGTGCGTGTACAAACGTCGTATGTTCGCCGGTATTGAGTGTTGGACCAGGAACGACTGGACCGTATATCGGGGCTGCTGTCAGACGGGAAGAAATGCACCGTTGAAACGCTGTGGCTTAGCGTATCCAAGAAACGATTCGCTGAGCATAAGCTTGAGGAGGACGCTGCGTTTGCGAGGCTGCTGTCTGGGTACGACGCGCCTCAGGTCGGGGAGATTGTAAGTGGTATATCTATCCACTCTGTATTCGGTTTAATCGATAGGCGCAGGAGGACTGTTTCGAAGATTTCGTTGGCAGTAAGGCGACGTTTAAAGAGCAGATAGACTGGGACAAGGAGATAGATACGTTGGATCTGGACAAACGTATCGAGCGGCGCGAGGATGTAAGTACGAATAACATTGGAGGGCATTTGCTGATAAGACTACTTTCAGTTGATTGTCCGTGTAAGAGGAACGCATGTGACTCAGGATTTTGTGCACTCTATACTCAATACAGTGCTTCAACTGAAGCTGGCTATCGATTGGAATAGCAAACCAACAGAGTGGAAGACTACCTACACAGATACGCGGTTCAAAGAGGCATATAGCGACAAATTGGAGACGATGAAACTGGGGCGTTCGAATAGGGACTACGAGAAGTGGTACGCTGGGGAAAGAAAGAAATTCAAGGATCGTCAGCAGAAAGGGATAACCGCGCGTAACTGGACGCTCGCGCTTTACAAGGAGGTAGGACTCTCTGTGCTCTTGTATCGATATATACTTGACATGTACGTCTAGTTTGGAACGGCAGTGCTATTGGATCCAAGATGGAACCCCTCAAGATTTGGGAAGAGTAACCGAAGCCCGTCGTTCGCGACATTCCTCCCGTACCTCATGGCCAACTTACCGATGCGACGGGCTACCTCTGACGAGCTTGTGAGCGGTAAAGCAAGGGTTACGTTCAAAGAGGGAAGGGGGATGATCAAGTACAACGCGGGGACGCACTCCGACAACGACGTGCTGTTACTCACCCTAGTCAAGTTTATCAGCAAGAGGAACGACATTGTTAAATACGTCGAGACGTTTATCACGAAGATGCGGAGAGACTGCGGCGACGCGTAGATCAGTGGTAGTTTAGTCCGTAACACTTGTTTCGTATGGAAATGCTGCGTTCGTTTGAGTTTTCTGTCGTTTGCGTTCGTTTCCCAATTCATCCCCATTTGCACGGGCATCGTTCGTGCTAGACGAGCCTGTCTGCGCTCTCTAGTGCGGTATCGGACATCAGCGCGCTGCCTGGGATCTAGAGGATGACACGAGGAGCTTTCCAAGACAAGAAGCGCAGAGGGCCACGGGCAGGCACTGTTTACGATGGGACATGGGTGCGAGTAACGCGGCGCCGGCAAATCGTCCAAGTCAGCAAAGATCGACAGCGACGGCAGCGTACCTGTGACTGACAGCCGTGGCCACGAATCCCCCAGCCCCTTCATCCAACTTACTCGCCAGTGCAAGCCCGTCGCCAAATAACCCAGCCCAGCCCGCCCAGCGCTTCATCGCGGCGTCGATCCCTGACATCACTCGCGGTCGTCTTTCATAGCCTGGATCTTCGTTGGGGTCGTTCATCGGCGGTTTGGGACGCGCGGACTTGTTGGAATGGCCCTATTTCTGCCGTTCCCGATTCCGCTGCTTGCACGGTTTCTGCGCTGGCTGCGCACTGCCCCGCATCACGCCTTACGCCGAGTTCATTTTCGCTGCCCGTATCGGTGTCCGCGTCCGAGTTAATGTCGCTTGTGTCTTCGTCCGCGTCCCCTCGTCCCCTTCTCGACACCTTCGCTTGTACTCGTGGTCTCCCTGTTCGTGCCCATCATTTTGCTAGTTCAGCTGTTCGTGTCCCTTGCTAACCTCCAATTCACAGACTTGCCGCGAGTTGTTGTCGCGGGCGCAATGATGGTGGTGGCTGAAGGGGAGAAGACGAGGGCTGAGCGCTGAGACTTGGAGCTGCCTTCATGGGCGCGGCGAGGACGCCGGTTCGAGTTGGAGGTGGGAGGTTTGAGCGTGAGGAGTAGGGGATGGATGGTGGGTGAGAAGTCGCTGCGTTTGTCGTGTGTATGCGCGGCGGATATTGCAGTAGATGCTGTATGCGGAGGTCACTATTGGGAGTTCAGCGGACAAAGGACGGCGACTCACGTCGTTACTCCGTTCCCAAGCAGATGACGGACTCGCACTCAGGTAATCGACAACTGACACGACGGGTAGGCCGCTTGGCGTGCCCCGTCTCTCTTCTTTATCGTTTAGTTGTCCCCATTTCTCTTTGCTCATTGCCTCTCATTCGCTTCCGTCGTTTCCCGTGCCGTTTTGCGTTGAGCAACATTCTCGAGGGCGTGGGTGCTGACTGGGAAGATCGAAGAACGTGTAAGCACCGGCTTGAGCATCAGGGCGCGTTGGAGGGCCGTCCGGCGTGTTCGCGGCGTCCGTGAGAGTTGGCTGGGTGTTGGGGCGCGCTCTAGGCCGTGTTGACGGCGTGCTGGTGAGCAAGGAGTTGGCGGCGTGGGTAGGAGTTAGCGACCAAAGGTCGCGTCTGAGTGATTAGTTGCGTGAGTAAGGGTGAGTAGCGAGCGAACGGGGTGCTCACCGACGTGATAGCCGATCATTGACTGGGGTACACTGTCTGGCGGTTGGCGGTTGGAGTTTAGTGGTTGGTTGATGGTGTTTGGCCTGTCGTTTCGCCGCCGCCGCCGCCAACACCATCGTGTCACCGTTGCTGCTGCTAGCATTGTACGCACCCTGAACCCCCCGTCCCCCGGTGCCCCCCATTCTGCTCTTCGACCGTCCCCCCGTGCTGTAATTTGACCGTGTGGTCGTTCGGCCGTCAGATTCACAATCCCGCACCTCCCGCTCCAGCTCGTAACGTGCGTTCGTTGGCGTGCGACGAGCCGAGTTCCGTGTTCGGCGTTTGTGGGTTCGTGAGTGCGTAAGTTTGGGCCGGGGTCGTTTGCGTTCTGCGTTCTGCGTTGTGGATTGAGGGTGTGCCCAGGTGGTGGTGAGTTGGGGTGGTGGCGAGTTGGGGTGGTGGCGTGGTGAGACGTTCGGGGTGGTGAGTGGGCATTGGTCAATCATCCCCAGGGGCCGTGTAGCCGTTTCGACTCCAGACGAACGCAGACGACTTCTGCACCCTGCAAGACCGTTCAGCTCAGCGCAAACGCACGACGAGCGATACAACATAGGTACGTACCTCATTCCCTTTCGTTTGCTTTCTCGTTCTCGTTTTCGTGTCTCCTCTGCTCCGCCTTGTATGTCTTCCCCCATTCCCGTTCTAGCGTTTTCGTTCGCGGTGTTCGGCGTTCGCGTTGGTTTCATCTCCGTTCGCTTTCGTGTTTGTGTTCGCGGGGCTCGACTTTCTGTACCGAATACATGCACCGTCTGCCGCATTATGACGGATTTCTTCCATCTAGGTCGGGAGAAACGTCGAGGCCGCCGTCGCTTGCCCTCGTTCAAAGCAAGTGTAGTGAATGGTGTGGCGTTAATGCGGGAAGAAGACGAGGGAGAAGCAGAAAAAGAGGAAGAGTCGGACAGGTCGACGGCGCTGTCATCGTTCCGCTGCCAGACCACTCGTCGCACCCGTCGCTGTCCGTGGGCTGTTGTCAGCGTTCAGGAAACGCGCTGCTGCTGTACGAACTTGCGAGGGGTACTGGCTGAGGCTGGATGTGTCTGGAGTTGTCGATGGTGGTGAGTTCAACCCAAGCGCTGTGGTACTCATTACTTACCTCGTTCCATGATTGCGATAGCGAGGAAAACGATTGACGGCGGGTTGAGGGCGGGGCTGCCCCGCATTGTGGCGCTCGAACAAGTGCCACGTGCTCGATCAAGCTCCGCTCCGTTCCGTGAGCCGACTTCGGACTTAGTGTCTTCAACCCCGTCCACCTCTCAAACGCACACCACGACGACAACGAGCACGAAGTTGACGGCAACAACGACGAGGGGGATGCAACTGCATACCCCTACATGCTCATTGTCTCTCCCCTTCATATTAACGGTTTGCGGCAGGCTCTGGCGCACACTGCGCAATGCTGGATACGCAAAGCTGATTCCACGCGCGCCGCGTCTGCCACCAGCATAACGAGGGATGCGGAGGAGGTGGGACACAGTGGCCGGGGGACCTTTTTTCAGCCGTCGTTGCTAGGTGAGTCCCCATTCTGTCAGGTTGAGCCCTTCATTCATGTAGGCGTTAGCAAACCTGCCCAACGGCCGCTGCGTCGTAAAGGACATCTTGCCTGCGCAAGGTTCCACGGGCAAATACGGCCATGTAGAGCTTCGCTCGTTGATAGCACCCTCTACTTCCAGGGTAGGTCTTTTCTTGCGCACGAGGATTATGCTCACCCTGATCAACGCAGAGGCCCTGTCCTTCAATTTGATCGTGCGGCGCGCATATATGGACACCCAACGGCTCAACAGAGTTTGCGGATCGCGAGGATGGCGGGTACAGAGGGCGAGCGTGGCTCAGAGCAGGAGAGTTGAGCACGAGGGCCTGGAAAGCGGAGGGACAGCAGCGTGACGGATGGCACAAGCGCAGGTACGTGGTGCACTCTGTCGACCCATATATGCGCTCATAACAGATTCCAGTGGTCAAACCTTGACGGCCGCGGACTCAGTGAAGCCGCAAGACTATCCTGGCGCCGCCTGCAACGTGTCTTGCGCAGCCGTACACGCCATTACCGCCGCATATAGCAACATTGATATTGCTCGGAAGCCCAAGTCGTTATCGCGGATGGCGACGGGCACGGTCGCTGAAAAAACGAAGCTGCGGGGGTCATGACGCAGACAAGGCATGCATATCAGGCGGTAGCTCGACCTTGCGCACGAGGGGAGAACACGACGGAACGGTGGCGCTACGGGTGGAAGGCAGGCGGTGGATGCATGGGGAGGGAATCAGTAGACGGGGGCGTCGACGGCAACCGTCGACGGAGGGAGGGATTGAGACGGATCCAATAACGGTTGGCTAGGCGCCAGTATCCTCGCGGATGGATCCCGTCCGCGAGAACGATGACGTGGGGAGGCTGAATGGACTCTGCTTAGGGGGACGCGTTGGCAACCTCACGGATGGATCCCGTCCGTGAAATATGTCACGTGTGGAGGGGTGTCGATCGAGGGGGGGATCAAGGTAGCCAGCCATGTCAATATTGTGACGGATGGATCCCATCCGCGAGATACATCACGTGGGGACGTGCAGCGAGCGACAGAATGCTGGGAGGGATCGAGGGTGGTCAAGAACGTCACGGATGGATCCCGTCCGCGAAATCGTCAACGGCCCGGGGATTGCCATAGATGGGATCCATCCGCGAGACCTTCGACAACCATCGACATCGTCACGGATGGATCCCATCCGCGAGATACATCACGTGGGGACGTGCAGCGATCGACAGAATGCTGGGAGGGATCGAGGGTGGTCAATAACGTCACAGATGTATTCCGTCCGCGAAATCATCAACGGCCCGGGGATTGCCACGGATGGGATCCATCCGCGAGACCTTCGACATTGGTCGACATCGTCACGGATGGATCCCATCCGCGAGACCTTCGACAACTCTCGACATCGTCATGGATGGATCCCATCTGCGAGAGGTGGCACGAGTAGGGTGGAGGAGGGGAGAGTGGGATGGGGTTAAGGTGGCAGGTACGTCGGACGTCGCGGATGGTTCCCGTTCGCGAGGGGTGTGCGGGAAGATGTAGCTAGTAAGTCTATGCTTGAGTATGCAACTTTCTCGGCTAACATGGCTTCTTAGGTTTATAAATATACTAACTCGTCAACTAATGGGTAATAATTAGTGTAATGTCTAGGTTTTTGTAGTTTTTTGGGTTCGGCAGTGGGTATCGACACTACGTGTCGATACCGCACCCCGAAAAAATGTAAGGATTTCCCAGTTTTTTGGGTCTGCCCCCCGCTATCAAAGCTCAGCCAATGCTTGCATTGGCTGAGCTTTGATAGCTAGGCGTTGCCTAAGACCCGCACTGCGAGAGGCGCGGCGAAGAACGCGGGGTTGGAGTCGATATCGAGGTCGCAGACTCCCTCGATCTCATGGGCTTCCAAGACGCCCACCGTGGAGGAGGAGGAACAGGCGGCGGAGCAGACAGCGACGGGGGGTGCGGACGAAGGAGCTGAGCAGCGAGTGAAGGGCAAGGCAAAGCCAAAGCCAAAGCCAGCGGCGAAGCGCCAGACGGCTGCAAAGCCACGACCCAAACCCAAGGCCAAAGGGAGGGTGAAAAGCGCAGCAGAGGTCCACGACGACGACGACGCTGGACCATCTGAGCCGCCCACTGCAGAGGGGAGTGTGCAAAACGAACCCAACGACGCCGCTGGACCTTCGCGGCCGCCCACTGTTGGGGCGAGCACCCTCAACGAACCCAGCCACGCAGCTGGACCTTCCCGGCTGCCCGCAGTTGGAGGGAGCACTCCCAACGCGCCCAGCCACGCAGCAGGGCCTTCCTGGCCGCCCGTGGTTGGAGGGGGCATTCCAAACCAGCCCAGCTCGCATTCGTTGACAGCCCAATCGTCTGGGAGCGTTGCGCGGCCTTCTGGGCAGCCCGCAGTGGCGACAGGGGCGATGGACATAGATCCACCTGCTGGGCAGACAACAACGGATGACGCAGGCGCAGCGCCACCTTCCCAGCAGGCCGTGTTGCTGATGGGGCCAGGGAACGCAGGGCCCACTGCTGGAATGCAGGGAAGATCGCCGGCGGGATGGATTGCGACGCAGCCCGCAACACAGAGGACGCCACTGGTGTCGCCATCGCAAAGGGAGTTCGTGGAGATTGAGGACGCGCTTCGACGGCCTTCCTCGCCGCCCACGGGTACGGAGGACGCGCCAATGGACATAGACGACTGGGAGGAACCCAAGAGCCGCAAGCGTTCAAGCAAGTCGAAACGTTCGAAGGCCAGACATGTCGACTCTCCTGGCTTTCGTCCCCCTTGGACGCAGGCAGACCCGACGACGCCACCACGGGCTGGATCTAAGCATAAACCACACTCGTCGCCAGAGAAATCGCCACGAACTGAGAAGAGGCAGGCAAAGATGGCGCGAAGAGATGCAGAGAGGCGTCGACTCCCGGGGACTGACTCTGAGGACGACCTCGACATCGGGGCGATTGCAAGGATCAAGCAAGAGGGGGAACCGTCGCGTGTTTCTTCGGTCGACAAACAGAGCGAAACCCGCGGGCCTCGAGCGCATAGACGTCCCACAGCAGTCCCAGATGACGGCGAAGACTTCACGTCGCTGATAGCCGACTTGTCAGACTTGTCTGGCTCAGACCAACAGTCGTCGTCAGATGAGGACCCCCTTGCGGCGAAACGAGTCCATATGTCACAGTCGGCGACGGCCCAACCCCGGGAACATGTCCCCAAGGTCAATCTCCCCCCTCCTCGTCCTCCTCGTGGCCGTGGAGGCGGTGGTCGCGCTCGTGGTCGCAAGTAGGTCGTTTCGCATATCGTATACATTCGTACTTTTATATACATACTCTCGCGTACATTTTTTTACTTTACTTTTTACTGTTTTCACATATCTAGGATTTCGTCTACATACTCGTGTGGGTGTCCCGCCGTGAGTGTCGTATGTAAGTATGTACTGACATGCGTACATGCTGCCATTGTCAACGCAGCTGGCGTGGGTGACTGCCATACGTTCGCAAAGTATGGCGCGGGGTTCCTGGCCGCCCGCGTTGACGAGGAATCCCGCGTATCGTCTACGTGCATGTGTGGGCGTCCCAGCAGCCCGCCGTGAGTGTGGTACATATTGAACACGTACTGACGTACGTACCTTGACAGGTCCCATTAACACGGGCCTCTTGGCCGCCCATGCTCGCGCAGTCGACCGCCCCAGTACTCCCCCTACCCGCGTGGGCATCCCAGCATCCTAAGTCCACCGTATCGACTTCGTCTGCACGCCTGGTCATCCTGGATGGTGATGGTAAGTCTTAGTTGCGTTAACGTGAACTTACTGACCGTTATACGTTCACAGAATATGTCTCGGCATTCCAGGCCGCCCGTGGTGAGCGCAGTGTCGCCCGTAGTGCCTGCGTACACGTGTGGGTGTCCAAGAAGCCCGCCGTTGGTGTTGACATGTACGCAGGCCGCCCGTATCGTCTGGCCTCTGCGCGTGGGCGGCCTAGCAGCCCACCGTGAGCGTGGTACGTATAGAACATGTACTGACTTACGTACTTTGACAGATACGCGCTGCCATTGACAACACGGCCCTCCTGGCAGCCCATGCTGGCGTGGGGGTCGTGTATCATATTCGTCTGCACACATGGGCTTCCTCGCCGGCCACGGTGAGTGCACGACAACTAGATTGACGTGTGGACTTACCTGTATTCATTCACAGGACTCTCCAGCGTGAGCGCGGGCGTCCTGGCTGCCCGTGTGGATGTTGGGGGAGTATTTTTGTACTCCTCTGCGTCCACGGGCTTCCTGGAAGGCGACTGTGAGTGAGGCCGCATGAGTACGTACTGACTTACTGATTCAGGTTCTCGTGGGCATCCTGGCAGCCCGCGCCGATGGAGGTGAGTCGTATCGCATGCACGGCCTTCCTGGCGCGTCGTGGAGAGTCCTGGACCGTTGCGCTGACCTGTTTTCACCAGCAGGACCTCTCATCGTGAACGTGGCCGTCCAAGCAGCCCGCGTTATATGTTATATACATTGCATGTGTACTCACATTGTGGGCTTCCAAGCTGCCCGTGGCGAAGGGAGACCGTGACTGGGGCGCAGGGGCCAGGTCACATAATGTGACGTGACTCAGGGTTGTGGGCTTTGGCGCCTGCGCACTGGCCACTCTCTCTTCCGTTCCGCCATCTCTACTCCCTTCCACCACAACGATGCCACCTCGACAACGATTAGACGAACCGTGGGCCACGCCAGCCCAGCTAGCCTTCATGACCTCGAGGTCCGACGCCTTCCAAGACACGATCGACGATGAATTTGGGCGCAAGAGGTTCTGGGTGGACTTTCGGGAGGAGTGGCTGTCCCGGTGGGACATGACGGACAGGCAGAACAAGGTGCGTGGCCTGTTCTATCTTATGGGGTGTACTAACTGATTTACAGAGATTCACATCATATTTCCGCGACGAAATGAGAAGGCGGGGCGCCCTTCCCAATCGTGCACGCCAGCCCAAGAAGGCAGAGAAGGCTACGCGTCTCCCTCTTGCGGCGACGACTCGACACCAAACGGAGGAGGTCGACCAGCTCAAGTCATCGCAGGCTTCCTCCCGCGCCGTGGAGGACCTACTCCTGCGTGCCATCTCGCCACCATCCCGCCATTCGCCAACGCCGGGGCCCTCTGGCGTACCACGCTCGCCAACTCCCGCGAAATGGCCCACCCCCGTCCTATCGCCACCATCCCGCCATTCGCCAACGCCAGGGCCGTCTGGCGTACCATGCTCGCCAACTCCCGCGAAATGGCCCACCCCCGTCCTATCGCCACCATCCCGCCGTTCGCCAACGCCAGGGCCGTCTGGCGTACCACACTCGCCAACTCCCGCGCCCACCCGCATTCAATCGCCGTCGCCCCTCCTCATCGATTCGCCATTGGCAATCCATGTCCAACCATCATCACCCGCCCTTTCATACTGCGACGTACCAGCATCGCCGACCCCCCGTCCTTCGCCCATTCCACTCGGGCGTATGCCCGTCGTACTCCCTCCTTCGTAAGTACGCGATTACGCGTTCGCCGCTCATCTGACACCAATATAGCTCTATCTGGGCGAAGGATGTCAGCAAGGCCCTTGCCTTCCAACTTGAGCTCCCGGGCATCGAGCACGAGGACGTCGAGGTTGTCGTCCACGGCCAGCAACTGGCCGTCTACGCGCGAAACGAACGAGCGCAGTACAAGTGGACCACTGACGTGGGTGGCTCTGTCAAGGTAAGTAGCTCGTCCCTTTAACGTTCGCCTGCCACTAACTTGACTAGCGCGTCCATTGCGGGCTGGAGAACGGGGCCTTGCGCATGCTCGTCAAGGTGATGCTGCTGGAGGACGTCACCGACGAACGCAGGATTTTTAGTGTCGACGGTAAGTACTTCATCCCCTCCAGCGCCATCTGCTAACTTGGACCTCCTTCAGATACTTTTCCATGGTAGACCCCCCCCGCCCCGCATGTCGTTATGCCCCCCCCCTGCTGTACTCATCTCGCTGCTGCTGTATCACGTACTTACTTTCTTGTTTCACGCCACATCTTGTATTGCAACGCATGTACTACCCTTGTTGTACTTTACATAGCTACGAACATCCAATTTGCTGAACATTCGCTAGACTGCCAGGGGAACTTGAGCGCCGTATGGGCATCCAGGCAGCCCGCCCTGTGAGTGAAGTCGAGTGAGTACGGTATGATGGGAGGAGTACGTACTCACCGCGTGGGCTTCCAGGCGGCCCGTGGTGAAGCGCAGGCCTCATTTACGTACGTCAGAACCTGCTTAGCACCACCATGAACATCTTGCACGCTATCAATATCGCCCAGATCGTCGTCGGCATCGCGTACGCTCTGTACACGACGTGGAGGAATTTGATCCGGATCGAACGACGTGAGTTTTCCTAACCAAGTCACCAGACGCGATCTAATATTCAATTCGTGAGCGTAGGACGAAGGGAAATGCGACGTAGACTGCGCCAAGCACCCCCACCCACAGATGAATGACTTAGGTACGTTCATCATGCATATAAACGACAGTATATTAACTACAATACATAGTACGGGCGGCGCGGAGGCCCAGTGAGATGAAGAACAGAAATGTATCACTACAAAACATAGAAAAGAGGAATTTTTGAGCCGTAGATCAAGTGGAATAACTCAGTCGACGATGAGGCCAGCGTGAGGTGATGTCTTCGAGTGAGAGTCTCAATGCTAAGCCACCGTATGGGCGGCCAGGAAGCCCACTGAATGGAGGGCTGTAAGTCCTACGGCTTGTCGACACACGTCGTGGCCGGCCAGGCAGCCCGCGTTGTGAATGAGAATGTATGGTAAGTAGGGTATACAAACTTTATACAATGGGGGACGTATGTATGCTCGTCGTGGGCTTCCACGCGGCCCATGCTGTAGGTGGACTGAATATATGTGGCGCTTGCATGCATGGGCTTCCTGGAAGGCCACAGTGAGTGTAGGACCAACAGAATACGTACTGACTTACTCATGCTTGACTAACAGGTGTAGACTCCGACAGCACGGGCTTCCTGGCAGCCCGTGCTGATGTACACGTATTCTCTGTGGGCCCACTGCGCGCGTGGCATTCCTGGAAGGCCATGGTGAGTGTAGCACCATATGTACGTACTCACTTACCTGTTCTTGACTAATAGGTGTTGACTCTGATAGCGCGGGCTTCCTGGCCGCCCGCACTGATGGAGGTGAGTCCCCTGGCGTTGTTCTGACTCCCCTTCATGAGCGTGGCCATCCAGGCAGCCCATGCTTGTACTGTAACTAGTTCATTACTCCCAAACAAGCGTGGGCTGCCTGGATGGCCGTGCTGTGTCACCTATGACACGCGGGGGCGGCTACGCCCCATACATGTACCAGCAAGCTCATCACGGTCGCCGTGGGCTTCCTGGCAGCCCGCGCTGATGTACGTGAGTCCTCTGTTGGCCCACTGTGTGTGTGGCATTCCTAGAAGCCCACGGTGAGTGTGATCAGTTACTAACTTACTTTCTTTTGACTAATAGACCTTGACTCCGACAGCGTGGGCTTCCTAGCAGCCCACACTGATGGAGGTAAGTCCCTCATGTTTGTCTATGTGTATGGCCGTCGTTCTGACTCCCTCTCGTGAGTGTGGCCTTCCAGGAAGCCCGCGCTTGTACTGGGACTGCTCTATCACTCCCAAGCAAGCATGGGCTGCCTGGATGGCCACAGTGTGTCACCTACGACCGTGTGGGCGGCTACGCGCCCCGTACATGCACCAGCAAGCTCGCGACTGTCGCTGCGGGCTGCCTGGCTGCCTGTGCATGGCTGTAGGTGCGTCAGCTCCTTCCACGCCGCCTGAAATATTTTTCTGACCGTTCGTTCTCACACGGCAGGCTTCCTGGAAGGCCAGACAGCCTCTGGGGTGTTCAAAGAATCACAGAGGGCCATCCAGCAGGCCTGCATCATTAGAATAAGTTAGGGTAAACTACAGTAAAGTTAGGGTAAACTACAGTAGACTTAGGGTAACAACAGTTGGGGTAGGAGGGATTTAGCGGGTAGGATTATCCTACGATTTCAAAATATGTCCTATAACCCTACGTCAGTATGTTTATCGCTATTAGGGTTCAGCCGCTTTTCACAACTATACAGGATTACATCATTGACTAGTTTCACGCACTTATATGCCCAATGCACTGAGCAGAGTAGTTTTTAAAACTGAAAAAAGAAACCAGTACAATGATACAAGACGACAATGATACATGCAATAAATGAGAAATGCGACTATTTCTCCAAGACAAAATCTATGAAACATTCCACAGCCAAGTCCAAACGCAAATCAGAAAGGCTATCTGGCTGTTTGGGAGCCTTGCCGCCCCCTGGCCCACCCCGGAATCCTGGCTCAAAATCGTCGCATTCGCGCAAACGCCGTATCTGTTCAAGGGGAATAGGATATCCCTGCTCCGAAAGCAAGTGACAGTATATCCTGCAGACTTGCTGCAGATATACTTTGTAAATATCTCCGATGAAACTCAGAGGCCGGCCAGCGAAGCTAAACCTGAATTTATCCGAAGCCTGGATCTGCCGTGCCACTCTGAGAGCATTTGAGGAGATGACGGCAACCTCATCCTGACATTCGACGTGCTGAGAGAAGAAGACCGGAAGAAGCCGGCCTACGGCACAAACGACGAGGACATCCTTCATGCCCTCCGTTGTGGAGACTTCGGGCAGATGGTGCCAGAGATTATCTATTTCAGAAAAAGATGAGTAAAAAAGTAAAATAAAGACTCTTTAAGCGGACTTACCAGGAACAACGTTGGGAGTAAGGCAAGCCTTTCCTATCATCTCTACTACGCGCCCCATAATAGAAATTGTGCACTCGTCGTGCTCCGTGTTCGTGGCGCTGGGCATAGCAGCAGAGATGATGAGGCTGAACATATGACGCCGGATGCTCCTCCCATGGTAAAAGTGGCTCCCTGAGAACACGGTTGAGTCCTCAAGGGTTACAACCATGTGAGGGCACCCTCCAGGCATCACCCTTTTTTAATGATCAGCGACAGATACAAAATCAAGGGCAACTTGACTTACAGCGGCGTTCCCGGTTCCAAAATCACGTAAGACACTTCGTAGTCTTCCGAGTCCAAAACAGCGTCATTGTAGCCAATGACATCTTCTGCCCAGTCAATAGGCCTTGACGAATAAGGGTCGTCCTTTCGTCGGATCAACGCCCAAAGCTTCCTACCGTAAGTAGCAACTACTACCGTTCCGAAACCGTTCGAGTCAACATGTACGTGGTGCCAAGTTGACGGAGTGGCAGCAATGGTCCATGTCAGCGCCGACATGTCTGCCGCTTTCCGAGGCATGTGGTGGGACCATGTTGCTGAATAACAAACGCGATCCAAGGTGTCGTCGGAGACCAGCGGCGTTCCTGCTGGCAGAGGACCAGGGAAGTCGAGGAAGTTGATTGCCTTGCGTTCGGGCGACTTGGAGATTGCGATGATCTCTTCCAGGGTGGCCCTTCTAAGGCGTTCATTGCCTGTGGGACCCAAATCTATCGATTGATCTACATGGCAAGTCAGCAGACGGCAGGGTGTTTTGGCTGAGCGATGCTCACCGTTGCATATTATGGATGCGTCAAGGAATCTGTTTAGACCCCTTAATGCGCCCTCGAAACTCTCCGGAGCTTCTACAGGCACGCCCGTCACCAAGATGGCCTTCGTATTCAACAGCTCCCCCACTTGGCTGGGGGACCATTGCTTATAGACATCGTAAGGCACAGACTTGATTGCGGTGCCATTCCCGTCGCCCGAGGTATAATCGGGGGGACGATCTCCACACGTCCGTCGAATGCCTCTGATCAACGCGAGGAAAGACTCCCTGGCGTACTCGTGCTGAAAATGATGTTAGGAAATGCTGACAAAAAGGTGTTTCGACTTACATGAAAGGATGGGAGAAGTTCGACGGCTTCGCCGCGGATATCAAAGAGGACAGTTGGGGGAGCAGCGTAGCGCTTTGAAAGAGTCAATAAATCAATATTTATATTGATTAAAAGCGGCTTACCTCCTCAGCAGATGTACCTACAAGACGAGCTAGCCATTTTCTGGGACCCCTAGTATGGTTGGGGGGAATGCCGCCTCTCTTTCCTCCTTCAGCACCTTGCGATCGGCTTAGGGTTGTGGACGTCTGTCGCCTTGTTTTGGAGGAGGATGGCTTGCTGGGCGGTTTGCGTGGGCCCTTTTTCGCAGGCGATGGCTTGGAGGCGGGGGGCTTGGTGGCGGAAGGGGTTTGGTTGTCGTTCTCATCGCCAGGGGACGGAGTAGATGGGTGCTTGTGTAGCCTCTTGAGCTTGTGCGTAAGGTAATCGTCGCTGTCGTCGGAGGGCACGGTGGGTCTTAGCCTCTTGCGCATTGATGGCCCAGCTTTTGGGTCGTCATCGTCGTCGTCGTCGTCGTCGTTGTTGTCCTCGGCGTCGTCCTCGGCGTCGTCGTCTCCGCGTCTGCGTTTGCTGCTTCCAATGGGCTCTTGGCCACCGCCCACTTTGCCAGCATCCAGGTTGATGTCGGCAGTCTCTGTCCTATCCACATCATCGTCCCTTTCATCGTCGTTGTCGTCTTTGTCGTTGTCGTTGTCGTTGTCGTCCTTGTCCTCGGCGTCATCCCCTTTGCCGGCATTGCTAAGAGGGCCATCAGGCGGGGGTGAGTTTTCCCTCGGGGCATTCAACCCCGAAGGTCCAGCAGCTGGAGGATGGTAGGAGGTATTAGACGGCGGGGTTGGGGGGGTTCCGGGAGCTAGGGCTGGTTGGGCCAATGCCGGGCCGTCGTCGACAGATGTTGGCACGTAAAAGAGAGGCTCCAGCGACTTGTAGAATTCATGGCACTCTGGCTCAACTTCCAACTCAAACGCGTTGTTCTCCTTGTCGTACCGTGTCATTTCTTTGAGACGTTCGTATAGGGATGCCATGGCCTGAGGTATTTCCTTCGGCCTCACAGCAACTTGACACAGGGTCGTCCAAATGATATTCTCGATCAAGCCCAGCAAAGGAGGTCGTTGGCAGCCTAGGTGCTTCCACATCTACGACAATTTCATTCAGCTTGAATTGGAAGGAGGTACGTTGACTTACTAAGAGATGCCAATGCCTTGCCACATGCTTCCCCATGGCGTCCCTCGTTTGCAGAAGCAGCAAGGGTGAGACCGCCAATGCCTGGTGGAGGGGAAGTAGCAACGCTTGCGGTCCCACACTTGGGTTCGCCCCCCGGTGTTGCTGGAGATACTCTGCCCCCGTTTGCTTATCAGCCCGCCCCCATTTCTCCGGGATTTCCTTGCCCTTGGGGAAGCCTATGTGAGACACACTTATTATCAAAACTAGATGCTGACTTACCTCCAAGGCGGCACGAAGGCCAGCTGCCGCCAGCGCGAAGTTGGCCACTATCCTTGATGCTTTCGACGAGTTCTTTGACTTTTGGAATATCCCGTACAGATATCCGAGATCGTCGTCGCCTTGCTCCAGAGCAGAGAAGAATTGGTTGGCCTTTTGCTGCTCTTTCGGGTTCTCCAACATTTGTCCCAGGGAGGAAAGCGCTTTTTTGACCATGACCGGCCAATCGTACAATTTGACGATGGAATCCGTGCTGTTCCCCGCCAGCTTGATGCAACCATCGGGTTGAGGAGAAGGGCCGCATGTGTTGTGGGAGAGCGTCGGGTTGAGTTGTATCGCAGTGAGCAGGGAATACGTCGCTATTATCCCTATGACGAGGGCAGCCTTCGAGTTATGGCTATCTTTACTGAATGGGTTTTCGATCCAATGCTTTATTTCCCTCTCAGCAGAGGTGATCTGATTGACAAGCGACGTCTTCTGTTGTGGCTAAGATACGGATGAGTAACGTCAACATGACATCAAAGGACTTACAGAGAGTGCGAGATCGACGTGAGCCAAACTCATTATCCAGGGGAGCTCTGAAATCCCCAATCGCTCCACAGCCGCAAGAAAAGGGCCCGAAGTTCTATGAGGCAATTGATTAGCGCACGTACGCCCCAAGGATCCTCGAAATCATACCCGATTGCCAATGGCTCCGTAATCAGTTGCATGTCCTGATTATCAGCATTGGAGGAAAACTGAAGTTGTTCCGTGTTGTTTGAGGACATTTCTGTGTGTCTATAGCAGAGAGATATCTATTGGATTTCGAAGAGAGCAAGGAGCAACGGTGAATGTTCGTCAGGAAGTAAAAATGTCACAAACATGTAATTCCCACGCAAAATAGGGGCAAAGACAAATTTTGGTATATCACGATGTTATGTTGAGGACGATTTGGGTATTTTAAAAGGCACTATATGATGAATTTTGAAAAAACAAAAATACTGCATATTTTTCTCTGAACCGACATGCAGACCCCTGACCCCTGTTATCACGTGATCTTATGGGCAATGTTGCTCCGGTTTTCCTGAGCAAATAAGCGCTCGATGGCCGAGATGGCCGGCCACCACCTGCAATCTCAATCGCTTATTTATTCCCAGGTAGAAAATTAAATACATAGCGCACAACTGCATTGAGTATTCATGCTACTATAGCACACGTATGTCAGCCCCACAAGCTAGAATCCTCAGAGCCTGAGTCTTCTTCGCTATCAAGCTCGCTTCCATCCTCAGGTGCCAAATTATCAACTTCGCTTTGCTCGTGCGATTCTCCATGCGCTGCGCCCTCTGGTTCATCAATATAATTGATGCGGTTTTGATTCTCATCTATGCCCTCTACTTGTCTAGTCTTGCGTTTTGGAGGCACCCTTTTGTTCTTTGCCCTACCAGTCCGCGGTCGGTTCTTGATTGATTTGAGTCGTCGAATGGCCGCCAAGGCAGTTCCTCTAGGTATTCTGTGCAGGACCTCCAATTGGTGGGTTTGAAACTGCAGCGATGACCGCAATGTGCGTGCCTTCCGTCGTTGTCTTCTGCCTCGCTGACCCCCTCCACCCACTGATTCCAGCAAATAGAATTGAGGGTTGGTATCCAAGACGACAGCGTCCTCTCCTAAACTGGCCTGCATCTTGGTGTACCATAGTTCGTTCCCCTTCCGAGCGGGCAAACACTGGCAGCAGCCAAGAAGCTTTGCCAATAACATTCCAAGTTCTGCACGCTGATCCTCTGTAATAGAATCGACCTGCGCCCAGTACTCCCCTAAATATCCAACCTCCCCCGCTAGCGCCTGCCAAATCCTCGTTTGTGGTTCGGTACCTCGGATGGGAAAGAAGTCGTTAAAACATGCTTGAAAGGCTGGCTTTCTTTTTGCGCCAGGAATGCTGCCACGTAGCCCAGCTGAGTTGGGTAGGCAAACAGCCAGCTTGAGGGTTTCCAAGGCTGATGTCACCGACCATTGCTGAAGCGCCTCTTGCACATTTGAGGGTGCCACCAACCGAGTGACCATATGTTCAGCCAGGAACCACCATGTGCAGTACGTCATCCTGGTAAATAGATAGCCAGCCCTAAGTTCCATCGAATTGGGCAGCCCATGAAGAATGTTATTCAAGGTTAGCGGCCACTTGAAAGGACCCAGAAGCGTCCATGGCTCCCTGAGCAGCGTCTGCTGAATTTCATTCCAGCCAGGGCTTCTCCCCAATGGAAATCGTTCGTTTCCCTGCTGCGGCATTTGCACTCGAGGAGGTCGCCGACGAAATGAGACTCCCATCTCTTGATGAACTTTGAGGTCGTCGAAAGGAGAGATTTCCGGAAGGCAGTTGGCCTCATTCAGACGCAAAGAGGAGAGAAAAAACATCTGAAAACGCTGCATATTTTGCTTGAAGTAGAGGTCTCGAAGCGCTTGTCGAACAAACAATCGTGTCAGTGGCGGCGTGAAGACAACGGACTGCATCAAGAAGGCAACGACGCCTGTGATTGTGCCGTAGTTCGTCGGCATCCTTTCCCAGACGTAACGGTGGAAGGCATCCAATGCCAGGATTCTCAAGGCCAGAAATTCGAAAAAGGATTTGCTAGGCACCCAAGTGACGAAATTTGGCCCCAGACGCTGCCAAATCTACGTGGAAAATGGACCATCAGCGATGAGTTAACCTGTCAAAAAATGGCGGACACGCGCCTGGTGCTTAATCGCCTTGGATGCCTGGGCCATCGCTGCCCCACTGACCCGAAACTCCTCTCTAACTCCAAAGCGTTTCTTGGTGGCTGAGCTACGGAAGATGTCTACCAGGCCCTTGACTTGGTCGACGTGCTTTGGGCTGCGATCAAAAACCTCCGTGTCGGAGAAGAGGTCCCGCGAATTGTTAGCCTTCCTGACTACCTCGTACCACAAGTTGTAACTATGTCGAAACGCAATACCCGTTTGCTCCGCCCGCTTCTGACCCATCTCAGATTGCAAGGCGCCATGGTTTGCCATTGTGTTGACGTGGTGGATGTTGCCAGCGCCATATCCTGATGCTCCGTATGACGCCTCCAACCCAGCCAGCGTCCAAAGTCCGACTACCCCACGACGCTTCGGATGGATACTAACCCCAATGTCTAGAAGCAGGTCGCCGCCATTCGACGGATCTAACATGTACGACCAATCAAGACCATCAAACGTCTCTTGGCACTTGCGGAATGCACTGGAGACCGTGTCCTCCATATCCATGCCAATCTCTGGCTCATATGTCACTCGGCAGTACGACTTGCACCCCTTGTTCTCCAAGACGAAGAAGTAGGACCCGTATTGCGTCTTCCCTTCTTGGTCAAGGGCTCTGATCTGAAATATGGCATGAGCAAGGCGAAGGGATAGAAATTCGTAGCAGCATTGTACCATTTGATCAAGCTCCCGCAAAAATTGGGCAAATTTGGGTCTGCTCAAGGGGAAAGATGGCGTTGCCGAGCTTTTACCACCTTGCTTGAATTTGACATGGTCCTGGTCATAGCCTGCGTAGACCTCCTCTGTCACACCAATGACCCTTCGGAGCGATGGTAGGATGACATCCTCCCAGATGAGATACTGAATGTGAGCTGGAACCTTGGACGTCCAGAACCGTGAGTAAGGGGCTTTGTGTGTCATTCGAGGAAAGAAGAGGTAGAGGTTGACCATGCTGCTGAGACCACCTTGAATGCCAAGGTGCACATGGGGAACACGGCTTAGAGCAAAACGTTGAAGAAGCCAGTCTGTTCGTGCGCCTCCTGCATCTCTGTCCTCATCTGAGGGCGGCACAAGGAGCTCCGCGTAAGCGTGGTTGTTCTTCCAAATTGGGGCGCGATCACGAATGACGGGGCTGGTTAATATGGCGACAGGCTTCATGAAACGCGGCTCCCTGGTGACAAAGATGACGCTATCGATGTCTGCTGATACAGCAAGATCGTCAGGACCGAGAATAAGCTGATCCTTAGTGATATCTACATGCACATGGCGTGATTCCGAATCAAGGCCGGTGACAACAATGTTGATTGCCTCTTGAGAAGTGCGAGCGTGTGCGATCATATCCTCCAAGCCCATGGAGATGACATCATACCCAGAGGGCGGCTCGGTGCATGAGGGCTGAACAAGGTCGTCAGGGACTTCACGCATTATGTGGCTGCCAACTTGAGTGGGTGGGGTCATATGAAACATCTGAGCAAAGGATGGGAGTATACGCCAGCCATAGTCATGAAAGTGCTCCCAGCCATGCAAGAGAATATGCTTGGCTATGTAGACCAGCCCTGGGGCGTACCCCTCAATTGTATCATCAACGGGCAAAAGAGCAGAAGCAGTAGGCCCTGTCTCATACTCGTCGAAATTTCGGTCAAAAGGAAGGCGAAGGCCTCTCAGATTGTTTTTCCGGTTCAAGGGGACAGGAAGTACAGGCAGATTGTCTTTCCTAGTCAGGCGAACAGGAAACGCAGGTCTCGGGGTCAAGGGAACCGGAAGTACGCGTCGTGGGAATCGCTCTATAAGTGCACCGAGCGGAGCAGGTGTGTGTTCAGTTGGAGCCACCAGTCTGCCAAGCTCGAATTCGTCGTCGTCCTTTTCTCCACCGGATGGGTTATCGCCGTCCTCGTCCTGGGCTGGTGGAGAGACTATATTATTGAACGGATTGAACCTTCGAGCGCCTTTGAGAAGTTTGCTCAGCTGTTCAGATCGACAGGACCTCTGCGGATGAAAGGGCCTCGTCGGCTTGCATTTCGCGCAGATTGCCATGCTCGTTAGGAGGTTCTGCTCTATCGGAATGACCACAGCAGCTAACAGGGTGGGCGTTAGGGACTTTTGAAGGTTATCAACTAATTCTCGCAAATCTAGGTACTGGGCGATCAAAGCGGGGTAATGGTTTTGAAGATGGGCATGAATGGTTATCCAGTCCACAAGGCTAATTTGGAGATCTCGGAGCATGGTCAATCGAGTTGTATGGCAGCAAAGAAGGGCTGGCCTCTCCCAATAACCATTCGAGTCGAAGACGAGCCGTTCCGTCCACATGTGCGTAATGGCCTGGCATACGATTGGGCCGCAGTCGTAGCCATTTTGCGGTAATCCAACTTCCTTGATATGCATGGTCTCTTCGCCCAATTGCCAGCCATTGAGCAGGCAAACCCTTCTCCAGACATCTTGCGATCCTATCGCAGTCCAGTTTCCCCGCTTGCCCATGAGGTCGCCAGTGCGGCCCAGAATGTGGATTTCACGAGCTTCAGGGCGGAATATGACGCAGCAGTAGTGGTTTCTGTTAACCAAAATAACACCCACGCAGTCCTGCATTATGCAAGGACCCTCCTCGATCAGGGGTAAGTCGTCGTAAATTCTTCGATAACCATCAATCTCGTCGGGTCCCCAAGGTGGCCCATCGCATAGCAGGTACGTCATAGGGATGTATCGAGGCAATGGCTCTTGTAGCTGCTGGTACTGCTTCAGAAGCCACTGATCCATCGCAATCCCGTCGATGTACTGTTCGCGACTCAGAGTCATCAGAGAGTCGCGAATTTGTACCAGCCGAAGAGGATTGATGAGGTATAACT